CCAGCTGAAAATAATCCCAACCACCAAAACAAAGTCACAAAAAAAATTGCAAATTGAAACATTCGCTGCGCAAAAAGCAATTCTTTTCTTTTTCATGTTTGGCTCAAGCTCGTCGATGCGTTGAAATTCGCGGAGAAGATTGCATTTGCCATTAAGATCCAAAACCCAAAATTCTCTCGCTTCTCGACGAATTCAAATATCAAACGCGATCAATAGAATTGGAATTGAATCGCTCAGAAGCCCAGTTTCAACGACGTCCGATATTGAATAATGTCGGCTTCATTCCTCATTTTGTTATGTGTTTTTGTTTCGTATTTGCGGGTGACGTAGGCGGCCCTGAAACAAAACTGATTGAAAACTGAAAAAAAAACAATGGCACAATTCACTGGTCGCCGCCAATAAATGTGTGTTTCCTTCTGTTTTCATGAAAAAAAAAACTTTTAGTCAAACAAAAAATCCGAATTCCCACAAAACTTGGTTTACTTAAGAGAAGAAGAGGAGACGAACGCGGGATTGCAGTTTTTTCTGTTTGCCAGGCGGTATTAAGGTTAGAAAACATGATTCTCATTTTTTTTTCTTGTTAGGAAGAATGAGAAGGAAGAAAGCCCTTGAAGGTGAACGCAATTTGCGGAGAATTTCGTTTTTTTTTCATCTTCCGTGACCTTCTCTTCCTAATTTGGATTTCCTTCTAAGAGTTTTGTTTAAATCACACTCACCTCCACTGAAACCCCTCATTTTCAGCACAATTTTTTTTCTAATTATTTTTCATATGGCTGACAACGACGACTAAATCTGTTGACAGCTCCCACCCCTGCCGTTATATATATATATATATTTTTTTTTGGGTGGCGAACACAAATATATTCGTAAAAAACAACCATGATAACTTGGAATCAGCTTACCTCTTTCCGTCTAATCTTGTTTTTTTTTCGCGACGATTGCTGGCGACGAACGATTGCCGCACAAATTTTTGGGCGAAAAATTATAAATGTCCGCAGCATCCACAAGCGGCACTCGTCGCCACTTTCTCAGAATACTTAATTTTCTTCTCACTAAATCATAAGTTCGGAAAATTGGAGGAACACTCTGTTCCCATTTTTTTATATGTTGTCGTCAAAACGCATTTATTACTCATTCTATGCGTAACGCGGAAATAAAATTCCGTATATCATATAATAAAAGAATAATAATCATTTTATATTTTTAAAACTCTGGAGGCGGTGTCTACCGTATTTAAAGATTTTTTGAGGGCTAAATTAGTTTGCGTTCAAACGGGAAATTGGCAGTGCCCGTCCGGAAATTTGAAATCGAGCGATGAAGATTTTTCATTTCAAAAAAAAAGTTTTTTTTTTTCGATTTTCTATTTTGTCTCGAAATTTCTATTTTATCAATTCTTCGCCGTCATCGTCAAAACGTCAGCGTTCGAATTTTCTAGGTCAATTTTCAAATTTCCGAATGATCTATTTTCGTGTACAATTCTGCGATTTCACGAATCGACGTCAAAAAAAATTCTATGAATTTTTTTTCGACAAAAAAATAAAGCAACTTTTTCTTCCATTTTTTCCCGATTCCTCTTCGCCGTCTTTTTGAGCAATTGTGGTGGTGCTGGTGTGGAGAAGTCCCATTTTTTTCGGAGAGAAAAAAAACTCAATTTTCGACTGTGTCGCAAAAAAATTGTCCGCAGGCAACGCACACTTCATCCCAACAACTTTAGTGGGTGTGACTCATAAGGTGAAATGGGTGGGCCCCACAATTCCAAAGTGGTGCACGCACACACATTCACACACACACACACACACATACACACACACACACAGCTAGTCAGCCACACACCGAGGCAAACGCAAAGGGTCCATTTTCCTCTTGCCCCGATGGTTGGAGTAGCTGATTATAGCCGTTTGTCCGTATGCTGTTTCGCTCTTTCATACCGCGTCTGACGCTCTCTTAATCTCCCACTACTATTCAGTATTTGTCTGGCTGCTATCTAGTGGTAACATCTTTTAATGTCTAATCCTCCATTCCTTGGCGATCTTGGCCACGTCCAATTGTGCGCGCTGTATCAGTCTGATTCTCATTGGCGCCTTGTGGTTGGCTTTTCAGCTTGATCTCCAATTTCGATGCGATGCCTCGTTTTTGTCGAAACGTCTGCGTCGCTCGAGATCGGGCCGCTCTGCGTTTCGGCCTATCTCGCCTATAACCCCCTTGCCAAATTTCGGCCTTATTCTTCGCCGTCTGTTCGCCTACGCGCTCTTCACAGACCACACTATTCGACGCTGCGTTTCCGAGTTAAGCGTTGTCTTGCGTTTGCTTAGTGATGTGTTGGCAACTCCGCCAAACGCACGCTATTTCGTCGCTGACATCGATTGAATAGTGTCGTTTCGTTCGTTTGGGACGATGCAGCGGCCTACCATTTGCCACACTGAATCTACAAGTAGATCAGATATTCTTGAAAAATACTGCATCGTTATTATAGATTGGCTGTAAGAGGGGTGGACGAGCCAAAGGCATTTTTTTTTGTCCAGCTTCATATTCTGTTCAACATAGAAGAAGCTCCGCACTTCACATCAAACCTCCAGGCACCGTATTCAGTTATCAAACTAGATTAATGGTCGTCTCAAGACACTAATCCAGAATTAAAGCTCAATTGCTCGAGAAGAAGACGAATGAAAGAAGCTACACTGTGTGTGTGATTGAAGCCACAAAAAATTTCCAGGAAACATCCAACAATCGCTCAAATTGATTTCAACGAATCTCAAAAAAAATATGTCGACGACTTGAAATTTTGCGAGGAGCTGAACTTGACGAAAAAAAAACCCCAGGAAAAACCCTTTTAGACTAGTCGTTTATCAGCATGATGGGTCCTTGCCGACAAAATGACGCACGGAAAAAATTTTTTCATTAAAAATTTGTTTCGCGATGCTGTGCGCCGTCTTGCTTCTTCCTCAATTACGGCCTTGAATTGCTTCAGCATCTGTTGTAGTACCTATTTTTTTTCCAATTTTTTATGCCATTCCTTGCCGCTCGCTCTGCTCTGCCTTTCGCTTCGTGTCGCTTTATTTCAACCTAAGCCTCAATGATTTTTCTGCTATTCCAATTCACAAAATTTTTTTTATTTAAAAAGTGGGCTGGAATGTGCCTTATAGAACTCGTATTTTCATTTTGAAGGAAAGGTTGACTGATACAAAGGAATGAACCGGATTCTTTCAACTGACTGCCTAGTAGTAATTAATTGAATTCCACAAAGAACACTGAGTTTTTTCTGCTTTCCTACCAACTAGAAATTATTCAAAAAAAGGTTTTTTTTTCGAGCAATACGAACAAAGAAGTCTTCAACCACGCATGAATTTTTCCTTTGTGTGTTTCATTGATTTTCCATTGTCGTCCCTCGGTTTTTCTTTCCGCTTACAATCCCCCCTAAAAATAGTCACCGTAACAAACGAATGAAAAGTAGTGGCTGTGGGATTCTGAAAATGACAACTGTCCGCCGAGCGGTTGGGGCGGCGGGAGTTGGGGCCAAAAATAACGGACGTCTCGATTTCGAAAACACGCACGCAACACCCATGCTCATTCCGGTGAAGCTCGCACGTTGTATTTTTTAAACTAGGGACCCAACAAGATGATTCATCATATATTCTAGAAGGCTTCAGTAGAGAAATTGAAAAACGAAACGCTTCCTCACAAAATTGACTGCCCTTTTTGACACCACGTGTCCAACCTTTCTGTTTTCAATCGCTATGTGCATGACTGTCCTGTCAATCGTTGGCGACACACCACCGCGGAAAATCAAAGGTTTACCAACATGCCCATCAATCCGTGGATGAAAACCAACCAGAAATGTGAAATTTTTTGAAATCCACCTGCCACTGGAACTCGTTTCTCCTAGCTACGACTCTCGGACACTGTGAGTTATTGGATCTGAGTTGGTTGCCTAGGTGAGGCACCGTATCTCAGGGTTCTCGATTTTTCGGCTCCAAAAAAAAAATAATTTTTGAAGGGTGGGGGGCAGAGAGGGCGCCGCCCGGTAACGACTTTTGGATGAAATCGGCAGAAATCTAATAAAACATTTGGCGACATTATTTTCCGCTCGCTCAATTCCCAAACATTTCGCGTTGTTGTGCTTTGCTTCTCATCAAGGAATGCGCTTATCAATTTTGTCCATCCCTTCAACCCAGTCGCAATCCGCTTGCAAATCTTTCAGCTTTATCTATCATCAATTTGACATTTCAGTGCGATTTCCTTCCCTCATTTTATTCACTCGATGTAATTCAACAATAATATGTTTTTTTTTCTTGTTGGTGAAGGGGAGGGGGGTGTGGTTGCTGACCATGACATTTTTTTCTGTCGTCAGGTCGAAAATTTGTATGGTCATGGGTAAAACAAGGAAGCTTTTGTAGACCATTTACATACAAGGAAGTTTCGATTGTTTTTATTTTTCGGTGCTAAATGCCAGAATTGAGAATGAAATAGTGGATAGGAGGCCAGAGAACCTCTCTGAAATCAAATCGTTTGACGTTTGAGCCCAATCTACACTGTTCAATTTGCTTTCTTCGTTTCTTTTTCTCTCTTGTTATTGCTGTCTCTCTTCAATTCTTTCCACTTGAAGCCGGATTTTTGTTGTGTTCTTTCATCCAACATTCGCATCTCTTCTATTCCCTCGCTCTTCGTTATATTTTTTTTTACAAATTCTTCTAATTATTGCCGGCCAAACGTTTTTTTTTTTCATTTATTTATATATTTGTTTCCAGTAAACGGGTAAAGAATCTCTGCTTCATCAGCAGGGGGGACGTGCTCGAGACGAACACGACAACCGCGAATTCAACGACAATCGCTTCCCCTCTTTTCCATCTAGTCATTTGGTGCGGAACGGTCAACGCCGATCACCCAGGAGCAACAAAATTGAGAAGCGCAGCAGCCGCGTGGTGAGAGTCGCGCCGCAACAAGGACGGGCCGCCGCCGTCGGGCCCACACCTCAAGCGGTCGACGCGAGGTTCGCCACGGAGATGTCCAAACGCAAGAATCCGGAGACAGTGTCGTCATCGTCGAGAGTTTTGGAGGCGCTCGTTCAACCGCAGCAACTCCAACAGTTTCCGGTCTCGCTATCGGCCATCCAAGGTGTCCAGCTGCCGATTCAATTCGCCGGTGTTCCGATGCAAGCAGCGCCATCTGGCGTGCCGAATTGCATTGTACCCGCACAGGTTTGTCGCTTACAATTCATTTTCATTTTCTGGGTGTGAGATGGAGGGGAAGAGCGGGGGTTTCAAGGTTACTGTATGTGAAGACGGGAGGTCGAACATCGCCAATATGTGTATATATTTGTGTGTGTGTATCGAGGCAAAAAAAAATTTTTGTGAGGGACAACCATTTTGAAGACGTCATTTCGAAATTTATGGAAGACTAACTTGACATCCAGAAACCAACGTGTTTGCCAAACAACGATCCCGAGCAACCAGAATAAATTAAAACGAAAGAATGGGATGAATAGAGGAGAGCTAATGAAACATTCCAGTTTTCAAGCGTCAAAACCTAGCGATGAAACGAAACGATTTTCGAAATTTTCGAATAATTGAAAAATGACGCTAAAGCGGACTACAATCCATGCTACATTTTCATTCCGAGCCACTGAACAGACGACGCAAACAGGCGACGCAAACACGCCGGCGACAGAACGCACCTATTGAATTGTTTTTTTATTATTAGTTATCGTAATCTCTGTTCTTCACCCATTAACGCAACCGTAAATGGCGTCGTTTCGGCGCTGAGAATTCGAAATTCCGCCGCGCAGCGGTCGCGAGGCAGCGTCAGCTTTTTTTCAAAGGTCAACTGAGAGAAATCAGATTAAAACCGACAATTTTTTTGCAGTCCCCCCTTTTTAAATACTAAAAATCGCGCAATTTGATACCATATTCTCTCGTTTGATCGAAAATATTTAAATTCGCATATTAATCTTCATTTTTTGGTTCCCCTTTTGAAGCGCGAAACTTCATAAAGTCACGTTTTATCGAAAAACTACAGTAACCTCATTTTCAAACTGCTTCTTAATTTTCTTGATTGACATTTTAATACGAAACACACGATAGTCTTAAACGTTTGAAAATTAGCGATTTTAGAGATTAGTGATTGAATTTTGATTATTAAAATCACAATAATATAATATTTAGTCACAGCTAACGGCTTGAAAAATATTTGACGATGAAATCAAGGAATTGGTTTTTGATCACATAGCGTCGGAGTCGATGATAACCGCATGTTTTTATTCCAAACAATTTCCGTTCATCAATAGACTAATAATGAAACACATGCAACGCTAGAAATTTTCGTCGGGCATCACCTACGAATCCAATTTCAACAATATATACTTTTGTTCGAACAAAGCTCAAAATGCGACTAACAGTTTTGTTAAATGTGATCTCATACAAAGAAAAAATTGTTGATCCGGTCACGAAACAGCTCGCTATTGCAACTTGTTTGCCGAAACGCAGATGTAATGTGACAGTAGCAGATGAAAATTGATGTGTCAATGTACATATGTGGCATCTGGAAAATTCTATCAGCGAGAAAAAAAATTGGTGATCGTGTGATCGGAACATTTCATTATCATCTCTTTTGTTTAAAGTACAATTCTATCAGTTGCCTTCGATCTCTTCTTTTTTTTTGTTGTGTTGGGGCTTATCGGTTCGGGCTGCCATCATCTCGCCAAGAGAGAGGAAGGGCAATCCGCCGCTGGTTGTGCCAGTTGGTTCGTTTCGGCTTTTGTGGCGAACGATAGTTTGATGTTTTCGACTCGTCATTTGTCGCCTTTCGCGCCAAAATCAATTGCCGATTGCGGCGCTGGGCGGTACTTGATAAAGAAATGTGTAAAGGGCATCTGGCAACTGAATTTATTGCTATTGAAATACTGTTGAGCATTGCGCTTCCCCTCACCCCGCCACTATCCCTTTAGCTTCCTCGCCAACTTCCCCTCACTTTAGCCTATTTTACGTGACTGATTTATTCCGAGAAATATGTACATTTCTAATAAACTTGTCCGAATGTGAAGATGATGAGAAAAATATGAATGTTACATAAGCAGATTCGTGATTAGGCTCGTTTATTCGAGTTGCTCGAGCTCACATAGTTTATTAGATGCTTGCACATTCTTCTTTCCGTGTCGCTGAGCTGTTGAAACTCGCTTCTCAAGTGAACAGCAGCATTAATATTGAATTTGTTCCAAGAACACTCGTCAAAAGCGTCAAACGAACCAAAAATTCGTGTTCCCATTTATGAAAAAAAAATAGAACGAAGAAAACTTGAATTTTGTTGTCAAATAGAACAATTGTGCGAGTCTCGCCAATAAAAATTTTTCGTTGTGAATTCGTCGATTTTTGTCTTCACTTTCTATTTGTGACGTGCCAATTAATTCATTCAATTGAAAGGTTTGTCGTTCACGACTAGATTCTCCTGAACAATTTGCGAAATTGCACGTTTTTTGTTCGGCGATGAGTGAGCGATTTAAAGCTTCAAACATTCGCGTAAATTTTGCGGTCAATTTTCCCATCGTTTCCGATATTATCATCGTCCAATTCGCGAATGGTCTCAGCGCGCTATCAATAAAACGACGCTATCTCATATAGGTATGACACTAACATGAATGCTTGAGTCGTGTGCTCACAGGAATCACAATCACATGACAAATTTGCTTATCCTTATTCAATATCATGTCAGCGTTGGATCCTTAATCCTACAACGCCTCAACAATTTCGAAAGAGAGTGGGCAGATTAAACACTACTTATCAAGTGAAAGCTAAATCCGATCGCAAATCCGTAGATATGTACATCAAATTTCCAAGCGTAACCAAATATTTCTTGCCAAATTTCGCAAATGTCAAACAAAAAATTCAAGGCCCAAAATGACAAAAATTTGAATTCGTCCCAAACAATGAGAATTTTCAAATATTGTGCATTAGAGCGCGTTTGCCGCCGCCGATAGCCCACGCGACATCTGCCGGATTAGCAGCAGGACGTCTAGGTCTCCTAATTAATGTGCTCTTTCGTAGTGTCCGGCGTGCATAATGCGAATAAAGCGTGCATTCGGGATATGGACTGGTATTGATTCCTGTGAGCACTTCATTTCGTCGTCCAAAAAATCCCCAAAAATGAGTAGAGACTCCAGTTCCTATATTGAAATTGTCTATGATTCCAACCAAAAAGTGAGTTCAATCGCCCTACTATATTTTTTATAAATATATTTTAAAAAGAATAATTGCTTTATTGCAGAAGCTTCAACCAATTGCTATACAGCCGTTGGATGGCGAACCGCGCTCACTAAAGCGCAAAACGGATGACGAGGTATGTATTAAAAATTCTATTGAATCTATCAAATTGTCAAAATTAAAAAATGAAATATTTTTGTGCAGAAGAAACCATCGGCAAAACATTTTCGAGCCGTGTCCGCATCGTCATCAAAAATGACGCAGGTCGCTACGAAATCGACGCGCAGCACAAAACCTTCGACCGAAGGTGAATATCAAGTTATCAAAAATGAGCGTCTACGATCGCCGTATGGCAACGAATATGAAGTTCTCGATTTTCTTGGGAAAGGAACCTTCGGACAGGTGATTTTTTGAAATGCACTTTTTATTAAAACAAGAACACACTATTGCACCACAATCAAGAGAAAGCCACCTTTTTTCGATGAAATATTGATTGTGAAATGCAACTTCCTTGCAAGAATTTCTTTTCGAGATGATATGATATCATGCGAGCAAAACAAGCTTATCAGCATTTAATATTATTATCAAACAAGGAACCATCATTATAGCTAAGTAGATACATGTGTATTTCAATAAATAATTGCAAACAACTATTATATGAAATGGGAAAAGCTTGACAAATAATTTTGATAGTTTAGGTGGTGAAAGCATGGAAGCGAGGTACAAATGAAATAGTGGCTATCAAAATTCTGAAGAAGCATCCAAGCTATGCAAGGCAAGGACAAATAGAGGTATGGGCAATGATCTCGATTGAATACTTGATTTTATTTGCAGGTCTCAATCCTCTCGCGCCTCAGTAATGAAAACGCCGAGGAGTTCAATTTTGTCCGAGCCTACGAGTGCTTCAGCCATAAAAGTCACACGTGTCTCGTGTTTGAGATGCTTGAGCAGAACCTGTACGATTTTCTCAAACAAAACAAATTCATGCCGATGGCGCTGAACTCGATTCGTCCGATTCTACAGCAAGTGTTGACGGCGCTGCATAAGCTGAAGTCGCTCGGATTGATTCACGCTGATCTGAAGCCGGAGAATATAATGCTTGTCGAGCCGAAACTTCAACCATTCCGTGTCAAGGTCATCGATTTTGGTAGTGCGTCGCATAGAAGCAAAGCAGTCACCAACACATATCTTCAAAGTCGATATTATCGCGCGCCGGAGATCATTCTCGGATTGCCGTTCAGTGAAGCCATCGACATGTGGTCATTGGGATGTGTGATCGCCGAGCTTTTCCTCGGCTGGCCCTTGTATCCGGGTAGCAGTGAATTCGATCAAATCCGATTCATTGTTCAAACGCAAGGATTGCCTCCAACTGCAATGCTCGAAAAATCGCCAAAGATTCATCGATTCTTCAGCCCAGCGATTGGAAATGTGACAGACGCTGTTGCGATTAATGGCGTTTACTATCGTATGAAAACGGTTGAAGAGTTTGAGGCTTCCGGAATAACGGCAAAATCAAAGGAGACTCGAAAATATATTTTCAATGTTCTTGATGATATTCAGAAAGTGGTGAGTTCGTATGACACTATAAACGTAATTATTTGATAATTGCAGATTTGCTATTCATATGAGCCAGATCCATTTGAGCAAGTCATCGACAGGGCTGATCGTCAAGAATTTGTGGATATTTTGAAGAAAATGCTTGTGCTTGATCCGGATTATCGATTATTGCCTTCTGAAGGACTAGAGCATCGTTTTACCACGATGGCTCATCTTGCACCATACCAATGCACAGCATAGTAAGCAACATGAAAAGCGTCTAGTAGAAAAACAATGGAATTTTCAGCGTCCAATCGGGACGAAAAAGAATGGAAAAGGCGTGCGCACGAAGCACAATTCCGCACATTCCGCAGCAGATATTCCGCGGAGGACCACCGGCGACTCCAATGGCACCGATGGCTCAAGTGTTGCCAGCGTTGAACACGTTGGCAAATACCAACTTGGGCCCGCAGCAACCAACCGATTTGGGCAACTTGATGCATCATTACACTCAAGTAGCCGGCGCTGGAGCCCCGTATTATTATCAGCCATTGAGTGCTGCAACATTATTGCCATTCGGTCAACTACGTAAGATTCGCGATTTTCAGACAAACTAATATATTGTGCTATTTCAGCGCCACCGTTTGGAAATCAGCCACCGCAAAGATTGATTCCTTTGCCCAATGCTGGACAGTTGATGCAGCAATTTGTACCAGTGTCATTGATGGATCCCTCTCTGATTCCGCCACCAGGAGGTCCATGGCCGAATGGTCCAACCAATCAGTTTCCAGTTCTAAGCGCTGGTGGACCTCACAATCTTCTGTCGAACGGACTTGGACAGCACCCTCTAAACCAGCTGAACCAGGTAAATTTCAATTTGAAACTGCGTCCAATTCGAATCGATTCAATTGAAGGTTTTTACGGCAGCGCCCCAGAACTTTGGTATGCCATCGTTTCTGCCAGGACCTAACGCGGGGTTTCCCGCCGCTAATGGAATTGGCGTGAGCACAACAGCATATATGGACGAGCCTGCATGGGCACCAGGAAATAACGTCCCCCAAATCCCAATGCAGCAGCCGACGCAGCAATCGTTGCCACCGCCGCAGCAGCAGCAGCAGCAACAACAGCAGCAGCAAACACCACAGCGCACGTTGGCATTACCGAATCAAACGTACGAAAATCCTATCAAAAGTTTGAAAATTAGTGAGAAATTTTGTAGGCCAAGCTATCGGCAAAATAAAAGCGGTTCGAACCGAAGAAAGAAGCATTCTCCGGTAACGGTGATTACTATCAGCGACGATGATAGCAACGATACCGGGTAAGCAATAATTCGAAATTAAGCAGCATTGTGCTATTCATAATAAATAGCCTAAAATTTTGTCTTATAAATGCTTTTTAGATCTACCGAAACGACGAATCCTCCTGTTGTGGCGGCAACACGAGATGCACCAAATCAGATTCGCGGTCGAACGGCCATCGTGCGTCCAATGGATAACAAGCAGGAGACGCAGGAAATAACGAGCAACAACAACAATCCGCCGCCGGCCATTATTGCTCCGCAGCCGGTGCAAATCAAGCCGATGTACGACGACGTGCGAATGTTTCTGCCAGGAGTGGCGAACATTTTTTTCGACGTTAACAACACTCTGACATTCGAACCGAATCGTCAATTCAATGGGAATCCGCTTCTCCAAGGCCCATATATGGATAAGACATTCAAGTCGTTCCATTAGTTTAATCATTTCTTTAAGTTGTTGCGATCCTTTGATGGATTGCGTGTCATCATCATGCTAATAACTCCTTTTGTTTAATCATCCTTTATTCATTTTGTATTTCATTGGTTGTTAAATTTTGTTTCGTAATCATTCCCATATATAATCCGTTTTGTTTCAAGCATATTCTTTTTGGTACTTTTTTTTCTTCATGATTTTGGAACATTTTTTTAATTTATTTCTGTGAAACGAACCTACTGAAATGACAAGCACACATTTTCGATGAGTTGTATCTTTTCATATCTATCTAGGCGTTTGCAGTATTGTGGTTTGATGCAGAAAATATTTTGCTAGGCTCTCTTCAAACGAGTACGATCCTTCTATTTTTTTTTTTTACAAATTTTCATGTGTTTCGTGTCTAATATTCTTCTGTATTTGTTTTCAGATTCTTTTATCGCCCTTCCCTCAGTCAATTTCAAAATCTACTTTTTCTTCTTTGTTTCACCTTCCTATGGAATTGTTTCTTTTTTTTTATTGCTGTACACGTATTTACGATGTTTCTTCCTATTTGCAAATTTGCTTTATATAGTGCAAAAACAAGGTGACCTAGAATTGTGTCCAAAACATTTGGTTTATGTTAAACATATTATTTCAATTTCTCTTCTACTTTTTCTCTTTTTTTTTCTGTCAAGGTGAAATTCTTTCTCTCACCCGCTTCGTTCAAATAAAAACTTCTTTTTTGTTCAATTTGTGACAACAACTTTCAAGAATAGATTTGAATATTGGATTAAAAAATTGGCGATGCTGAGTGTTTTCCAAAAAAATTGACAATCTTCCTATTACGGGTTCCGGAAAATTTTCAATCGGTTGTATATGTATATATATATTTTGTCAACGTCCGAAAATAAAAATGGTGGTAGATTAAAAATGTTATATTAGGTATGAGTCAAATATCTACTTCTTGAAGTTTTGCGCGACGCCGACAAAAACATCTCATTGTGTGTGATAGGTGGGAATATTACAAGAAAATATTACAATTATAAAATACAATACAAATTTTTGAAGAAACTGACTCGGTGGTAATTAATCAAAAAATCAATTGTTTATACAGTTAATTAAAATCAATTGATTTTAATTAAAAAAAACGATTGTAGAATTCTCAAAAATTTTTTCTTCTACACCAATATGCGAATTGTTTTGTTTTAAAGCCATTTAATACAGTCATTATGAAAGCATAATCGGTGGAAGACCGATATTACTCTTCAATTATCATTGTATTGGAGAGTTTATTCAAATTTTAGTTACGTTAGTATTACAAAAATTCTTCGCACATTTTTACGATTAAATAATTGTTGTATTTTATCATGAAATCTTGTTCACTATGTATAGCAATTCTTTAAAATTTTGTCTCATAACTACTTCATTGTTTTCCTGTCGACTCCCTTTCTCAGCAACGCCTCGAATCAATTTATGCTAATCTACACAAAAAAAATTCAGAAAACAATTTTGCCTATTATAGATTTTTTATTTACTATAGTTCTAAAATAATAATTTTAAGATATTTACTTTTTTCATGTTCAGTGAACTAAAAAAAACATTACGCTATCTAATTGATATATCCTGTTAAAGTTTTTGCGGGCAAATCCAATTTCAAAATATGTGTTTTCCTTAATCTTCTCAATGAAAAATTGTACACCAATCTCCGCTCAGCTCTTATACTTAATATGTACCTCAAACGTGTAGCTATGAGAACGCCAATTGGTATTCAGCTACACCAGCAATCGTAAAATTGCCAGTATTTGTGCATTCTACCATTTCCTTTTGTTGCTCTATTCGTCAGCATGATTCTATAATGAGGCGTTGACATGCCGTCAGCATTAATTATAAATGTGAAGCGAACTAAAAGAGCACCTGTTTTTGCACATCCGATAGAAAATCGATTCCAAGTAGCATCAAGTTTCTACAAACTTCTCCAATTCGTCCCCTCTTCAACATCGCCGGAAAAGCGTTGCCAAAATTTCGTGAATACATCAAAATGAACTACTGGCCAATTCTATCAGATCTTGTTCTTTGTCGCATTTCATCTTTTCTTAGAATTTCCTCTTGATTCGCCTCCATCTAAAAATACTCAACGATATATATCCGCTTCTTTCTTTTTTACATTGCCTTTTTAGCGTTTGTCGTTTCAGGCGCGTTGAAAACCTATCCTCATGGCGTCATCATGAGGCGCAACGAATGATTCGTGTTGAATCGCCTTGCAACAGATTCATTGTTGAGGTGAGCAAACCCATTTTTTTTTTGAATCGCTGCTTTTCCTCGTCACCCCCCAAACGAAAAGCATTGCACACATAAAGAAGCAAAATTCGATTTGGTGCCGATGATTTCTTGTCCCAATTTTTTTTTCGCCGGCTAGTATATTCTAGATTTTTTTTGCTCAATATTAGTCATTCTCCAAATTTAAAGAAGAAAACCGAATCTTTTGTAACGTTTCAATCATTTTTTAGTTGGCAAATTTCCGTTTTCATGCTTTGCGATTCTATTGAGAAAACTTCTAATTGGCTATGAATGCCATGGTTGTTTATTTTGAGAACTCTGGTCCTACACACACATTTTTTCTCGACTTGATGCTATCCCATTTTTCATTTTTTTTCAGATGGAGACGACAACCGAATTCGCCGACACCACTGATCATTCCATCTACGGCCTCGTCGTTTTTCTCGTCATTTTGATATTTTTCGCATCATTAACCACTGGATTAATTCTATGTTTGCTCAAAATCTGGTGCACGTTTCATCAGCAGCGTCGAAATTCCAACGTCGATCAGCGAGCGCGCCGCTCGATTGTTCGCGGCTCGCCAAACTTTGACACCGACAGCGATGATGAGTCTGAAAACCAGAATACATTAAGAACTCGCCGATTCTGTGAGTATTTCTAGAACCATATAATCAATTTTGATTCACGCCCAGCTACCCGACTGATGAGCTACGTGAGCAGAACCCTAGAGAAGCGTGAGAGTAGAAAAAGCATACCAAAAATGGAAATGGAGCAGCCGCAAGTACACGGAAACGGCATTCGAAAGCCGCCGGAAATCAACATAGATCCAGTACACAATTATTAATGCTAATGAGCTGTGTTTGATGGTTGTTTTTTTTAGTCTTCTGGAGCTATGGAAGAAATGCTAGCCGGACTCCAATGTCAGCCAAAGCCTCGAATTATTGATGAAAACGACCCAACCGCAGTAATTGATGTTTAACAAAGAATTGCTAATGAAATAGTTCATTTGCTTGCAATATTGCGAATCTAAATAAAGGAAGTACATAATAAAAAAATATATCATATATAAAAAAAATTAAAATCACAATGTCGTATTGCTAAAAATCGAAAAAAAAACAGCAATACCAATATATATTCTAGAGTATACTAAGGCTACTTTTAAAGTTGACAAGTGCATTTGACAGATTTGTATACTATGAACATCTCTCGCATGCGAACATGCTGCTCTTCAAGGATCACATTTAATCAATTCAGAGTATCAACGGAACAAAAATTATTGGAATGACTTGCGAATTTACGTTGATTGGGGGGGGGGGAGACTTTAATGTAGACTAGCTAGTGGTATCTTATTCTTTAGCGACTCCTCCACGTGGATAGTACTTCTCAATGGTCGAGTTTGGAATACGCTTGAGCATTTCACGTGGGAAGATGCGAAGAAGCTGCCATCCGATGTCGAGGGACTCGAAGACGGTTCTGTTTTCGTAGTGTCCTGAAACATGATATCGTTAAGAAAATTATTTAAAATAAATGTTGTACCCTGTGTGATGAAGTTCTTCTCGAACTTGGTCAAGAACTCGAGGTAGAGCAAATCGTCAGACGACAAGGCTTCCTCTCCGACGACGGCCTTCATAGCCTGCACGTCTTTTCCGATGGCGTAGCAAGCGTAGAGCTGATTGGAAACATCGGAGTGATCTTCTCTGGTCATGCCCTCTCCAATAGCAGATTTCATGAGACGAGAAAGGGATGGAAGCACGTTGATTGGTGGGTAGATGAGACGATTGTGAAGCTGACGATCAACGTAGATCTGTCCCTCAGTAATATATCCAGTAAGATCAGGAATTGGGTGAGTAATATCGTCGTTAGGCATGGTAAGAATTGGAATCTGGGTGATGGATCCGTCACGTCCTTCGACACGACCGGCACGCTCGTAGATGGTGGCCAAATCAGTGTACATGTAACCTGGGAAACCACGTCTTCCGGGCACTTCTTCACGAGCAGCAGATACCTGAAATCAAACACAATAGAAATTCTTTATGGAATTAATTGTGAATTACCTCACGGAGAGCTTCAGCGTATGAGGACATATCAGTAAGGACGACCAACACGTGCTTCTGGCATTGGTAGGCCAAGAATTCGGCAGCGGTCAGAGCAATACGTGGGGTAATGATACGTTCAATGGTTGGATCATTGGCCAAGTTAAGGAACAAGCACACATTCTCCATGGATCCGTTCTCCTCGAAATCTTGCTTGAAGAAGCGAGCAGTTTCCATGTTAACTCCCATAGCAGCGAACACGATAGCGAAGTTGGTGGCCTCGTGCGGTTTGTCCGGAAGCTGGACAAGACCACCTTGACGCACAATCTGGGCGGCGATTTCGTTGTGTGGCAAACCGGCGGCGGAGAAAATTGGGATTTTCTGAACAAAAAGGCGTCTCTTATTAAAACTCTAAATATTTTTCTCACCTGTCCACGAGCAATAGAGTTCATCACATCGATAGCGGAGATTCCAGTTTGAATCATTTCCTCTGGGTAGATACGCGACCATGGGTTGATTGGTTGTCCGTCGATATCCAAGAAGTCCTCAGCAAGAACTGGTGGTCCCTTATCGATTGGTTTTCCAGATCCGTTGAAAATTCTTCCAAGCATATCCTCCGACACTGGCGATCGCAAAATATCTCCGGTGAACTCGCACACGGTGTTTTTCGCGTCGATTCCCGAGGTTCCTTCGAACACTTGGACGACGGCCTTGTTGCGGGTGATTTCAAGAACCTGTCCGGAGCGTTTCGTGCCATCAGGAAGAGTGATTTTGACAATTTCCGAAAATTGCGGGAATTTCACATCGTTGAGAATAACCAATGGTCCGTTGACACCAGAGACAGTTTGATAGACTTTAAATTTTCTATATTTTCAGTTTAATCAATTTTTGCACTTACTAAGTCTCGGCTTGGTGGTGTAGTTACGGATGACAGCGGTCTTGTGACCAGTGATTCCCTGATTAACGTCAACGGCGGCCATTTCCTGCAATAGCAACACGTAAATGGAGCACGAGCAACGGGAGAAAATGAGTAAAATTATACAAAAACACGGAAAATTTAAAGCAAACCGGAACCAATAATCGTGTGTAAGACCACGAACAAAAATGGTCTTTCGTCTTGGTCGCAATTCGCTCTTTGCACACTCCGCGTGGACACTTTCGTGTCGAGACCACGCCGAAACTGCCCTCGAATTAGCACAATAGAGCGCACTTGTTCGACCCATTGCAGACTTTTTTCGTTATTTTTTGTTGAAAAACGAGTGTATTGATGGGAAAATTGAATAAAACAATAGAGAAATAATTGTTTATCAATTTTTCAACAGAGTAGTTCAATTTCAACTAAAATTTTACATTGAAATATATTTTTTAAAATTATTACTAAATTTCATCGGTTTTGCTAATATTATTAATATTTTAGGAACTTTCTCTGCCCGATTTGAATTTATTTTTTAGAGAACGAGTAAACTAAAAAGTGTTTTGAGGAAAATGATAATGGAAACCTTGGAAATTTGGAAAATACTCGAATGCAATTGGCTATTGAATCAAAAACAAAACCATATTGAAAATAATCTAGAAAAAAAAACCATCGAATCAAATAATTTATTTACTGAAAAATTTTTTGTAATTTTGAGTGGAAATGAAATTTTTTCAGAAATTCTTTGACAGAGGCCAATTTGCAAGTTTCAATATTTAATTGTAATTTCGAAAAATGACACATTAAAGAAGTTGGGGGCTAATGGCAGATCAATTTGCGGGACAAATCATTTTAATACTTTAATTGATGAAAATATGGATGTCGATGGGGGAGTTTTTTCAACAAGAATTCCTCATAGTTCAAGTCTGAGGGAGGAAATATTCGGAATATTCAATGAGACTTCCCATAAGAACCGGCTAGATGAGATGAATCAACTCTTGAGCCAAGTCGTGATCCTACTTAGAATAATGTTCCGCTTTTCTTATTTTCTCAGTTATAAGTTTTTTTGCAATCTGAGCTTTATTCTTACGCTCTCAAATTCTTGCGAGAAAAATCTTTTACAATTAGAGATCATTTTGAATACAAATAATATGTGTTTTTCCGTTCGTATGTGAAACGTCTCAATTCACGATTTCCAGAAGATATGACATGCAATAAACAATAAATTGGTGATAAGTGAATTGATGAAAAAATTCAGTCGGCATCCGTTGAAGACGCTCAAAGAGATCCAGCAGAAGAAATATTTGCATAAGGTTGGCGGAGAGATTCCTTCACTTGACGCAACGTATTTAACTCGTCATCGTTAGCAGCCGGACCTATAAAACAAAATAAATGTGTCTGTAATCAAGATAGTAGACTATGCAGACATTTAAAATCTATAAAAAATAATATAAAAAATACCTAGATGCGACAAATCTGCGAGAATACACGCGGCTTTGATCTGATTTCGGAGTCGGCGGAGAATGGAATTCCATGACGAATTCTTAACAAATGATTATTTAAACATTGTATGACTATGCATACCAGGGCTGTGCCGAAATTTTGATTTTTGGCAATTTGATATCAAAAAAAATTGGCGGAACAAAAATCAATGTGCATTGAATAATTTGGGATACCGTGAAAATTCGGTATTTATATTTCGAATTATCGTTGAAAACATTTAATAGCCGAAATTTTTATTTTCAGCAATTTGCCGATCTGCCGAAATATTCGATTTCCGCACAGCCCTGATGCATACACTCTTGAATAGAGTGTTGTAATTTACTATTATAACTATAAGAAAATAATCATACCTCATCGACCACAGGATTTCGTAGATTTGGATCTTGATATCCACGAACTGAACACAAATTTTTTTTAATTATTCCAAAAAATTTTTTCAATTTATCCAATAGCAATCTTGATCAGAAAATAATATAAAGTAAGAAAAATAAAAATACGTACTTGTTGGACGAACCATTGCCACTTCAATTTCGTGGATGCTATCCAAAATGATCTCGTAGACAGCTTCTTTAGTCTGTTTGTCCATGTCGTCTTTCCTAAATGGATAAAAGGTTTATGAATAAAATAGGAACTCAAACTAAAATAAAACGAATTTTCAAAAGCTAATAGCTAAATAATGTTAAAATAAATTAGAAAAATATTCTTACTTTTTCGCGAATCAGCTCAACAACTCGTAGATGCAAGCCATTGATTGCCATGGCATCATCCTACAATTATATTTTAATTAGAAATAGAAATACATACAGAAGAATAATAGTTCTACATACGGAAACAAGTTGAGCAGCCATGAATAAAAAGACGAACTGCCAGCAACCTGTAAAGATATTCGATTAGTCCAATATCAAATTAAGAAAGTATTAAAAATTGTCGACAAGAAAATAAAATAAATAGTGATCTACAGGATCGAAGCAAAAGGAAAGTAGAAGCAAGTTTTTAACTAACTCAAAACTAACATAAGGAGAATACGCATGCGACGCCACAGGTAAACGCGTTGGGCTAGAGTGGAAGGCAGAGACGCAGAGGAAAACGTGAGACAGCCGACATAGATTTGTTGTTATCAAGTTTTCACAACCATGAAAATTAATGGAAAAAATTAAAGAGAAACAATTTTTTCTGGCATTTATTTTGTTAATGTTTTGAACTGGCGAATTTGAGTTACACTGACTGTATTATTTGAACGGCCTTCTTGGGTCTCGTATGGAAAAACTCCTAGAAATGAGTTTGGCTTTATTGATCAATCATAATTTGAAAGAGCAGTACTTTGGGTAATTTTGAAAACATCAAATGACATAATACAAGCACCATTTATTTTACAGGTCCAATTAATTGGGCAGCTAGCGCCATTCAAATTCAGATAATTCGTCTGTACTTGGCAATATCTGCTTCAGAAATTTGTTTTATTGAGGAATTCATCAAATTTAAACATTCCCATCCAACACCAAAGGATAACGAAGCTCGGCGACGCTCATTAGCCTAAATGTGTATCTCCTGCTGCGTACTCTAATTCGACGTGATCTCTAATTCGAGCTAGCTTTGGACAATTCGCTTCTTATTGTTTTTTTCGAGCGGATTCAGTTTTAATCAGCGATTGAATGATTTTTAAACTTCTATATTTTAAATGAATATTTTCTTTGAAAAAGAATAAATCTTTTGAAATTTTTGAGAGAAATTAGAAATTAAATGGAAACGGATTTGAAATATTGACTATAAAATATAGAATTCACATTTTTAGCAATAAAATTAACTACCCTTTTCTAAATTATTTTCGAATATTTGTTTCTCGAGTTTTATATCACTTCCCTTGAAAAATCTCCCTTCTTCCATCATCAGAAGAATATTTTTTGAAATTATATTCATTTCAAGAAATTAAATTCATTTTTACATGTTTAAACCGAAATAATCAAAAAATCGTATCAAATTCTATAATTCTCTGCTAAATTTCAATATACACCAATTTCCTTCTTATTAATTCAAATCCCATTTGATCAAATTTTAATCTCTATTTTCAGAAACACTTCCCGCCCAAACGATGAATAAGATTACTGTGGCATTGAAATATAATTTATTCTTTTCTATTAAATAAATTACAATTTCTTGAAACCCAAAACCGATGTGAATGAAGGAAAAAAAAGCAAAGACACACAAGAGCGGGCTCATGTGAAATTGCTGCGGGTTTTCACAGCACTGAGCTAGCTCTCGTCATCTCTTCACAAATAGCATGTTTCTTTCGATTGTCCTGCAATTCTGCTCCAACCGAACATTTTCATCCCTATTCCTTTCCCAAAAAGGTCCCCACTAGGAATATTATGCATCAAGAAAGCACAGTTAATGTTCTCATTTTGTTTTTATTACGATTTTTTGCATGGTTGTTTTTCTTTTTTCCGTCACCATAAATACATTCCCATTTTTCATCATTTCTTTTCTCCATAATGCAATTAAAAAAAAATAAAAAATATATTTCCATTTTTTTTGCTACTTGAAATTTCACCCAAAATTTTTTTTTCGCCCAGTTTAAATTTAATACTATGAGCAATTACTCGGCTCCAAAAGCAAATATGTCGCATTTTCAAATGCTCATAGAGTATGCTCTGTTGGTGTGAAGGGTGTTTAAAAATGACAAGATTTTCTCGTGGTTTGCACGTAAGTCGAAATAATTTTTCCACATGCCCTCATTTTTTTTTTGTTATGCCACGAAATCAAAGTCGAAGTTGCTCAATTGGCTGGTTCCAAACACTGGGGGCTCAATGTTTGAAATCAAAGAGCAAATGTTCGTTCCATTCTTGCGCTCTGTTTTTCTTGGAAAAAGCTACGGCTTCTTCTTTTTTGTGCTCATTCGCCTTTCTTTTCACTTTTCACCCGAACATCAAAACAAAAAGAAAGGACAGATTGTACATTTTAATCACCAACGCAGAATTTCTATTTCGCGGAATCAGAATTGAGACAGCTTTTTCTTCCTCTCCTTTTTCCAATGCTTTGGGGTTAATATTCCTTACCATAGCAACATGAGCTGAATCCGCTGAGTTCATAGGACAATTTTTAGATGCTTGCTTTTTGTTTTGAACTGATGTCCCCAAGATTTTGCTCATTTTTTGTTGTGGAACACATGTGCCCGTTCGTTTGCTTTTATATTTTACCTCACCTAGCTAAAAATCAATGACTAACTTTCAAACCCTATGGGAAGACTTTCGAAAATCGACATTCCTTATTTTTTGATCTCGTTTTTTTCTTATAATTGTATCTTTAGCCACCTTTATTTCATTAATTTATTTCGCCCATTCTTGTTTACAGCTTGCTCTTGGTCACATAGCACTTTTATTCTAAATGTTTCCCATCATGAAAATTTGGTCGTGAAAGTAATCCTTATTTTGGTTTCTTTTTTGCGATACAGTACCTGTGCACAATTCAGCGGGTCGTGTGAACTTCATTGTGCTTTTCGCAATATGCAAATTGAGATAATATACATATATAGACATTCACAAATCACATTCGAATATTTAAATATCAATGAACAGTCTTGGAGACCAATAAATTAATTTTTTGATTTAATATTATAAAAAACCAAGATTGGATTATTATAGTCTTAATGAAAGTAATGGAACAAAAGTGCTGAAAAAAGCAATGAAGCATACTATTTAGTCCAAAACGATCAAACGCGTGTTATTAAAAAAACTGAATTTTTTGAAATAGCAATTTCCCTTCTACCAACGCGTGAATATTCAACAAAATATTTAGCTTCTTCTATTGTTAGATTGGTCCTGATTAATTAAGGGCAAAGCCAAAAAGAAAATTGAGGATTCTAAACAGACGGAAAACTTTTTCTTGTGACGTCGAAACTTCAAACAATTAAAAAATAGTATTTTGTTTAAAAAATAGTGAATAGAATTCCATTAGTTCAAGATTAAATCTCTAGAAAGCGTTTTCCTCCAACAGAATTCCATAAAATGTAAGTTCAACCAGGTTAACTAGCTCGGCAAAAAAAAAAAAGAAAACAACATTTTTTTGCAATGGCATTACACTACTGAATAATTTGTTAGTTCGTTGGCCCCCATGAGCATATTGATATATCTTGGCATCGGTTGCGAAATTGTTGAAGACAACCCACTAAGTCATCATTTATCTTATATTGATTTATCATCAATGCTCCTCGGATGTTCTTCAAAAGATCACGGGATGACAGCGAGCAATAAATTATCGCGGGTCATGGGGACCTTAACTGATATATTTTTTTTGCCCGCAAAGTTCAAAATAGGCGCATTTTTGATCAACTAATTGTTGTTTTACGTCGTCGCTATTCTCTCCATGCGCGTCGATGGCAAGGCAGGTCGACCACCATCGGCCCCGCGGTTTCGTGTGCATGACTTGTGAGCCTCTTGTACACCCTATTCTCACTTCTCTATATTTCCCCAAAAATATCATTTTTCTAATTAATCCCTTGTCAAATCTTGTCCGAAACCTTTAAATTTGATTGGATTTTACACAAATATTTTCAATAACTAAATATAATCAAAAGGTTTATGAGAAAATCGTTATTTCTTCTAGAAGCTGTTTTTATGATTCTTATAGACTTTTCAATATTTTAGAAAAAAATATTTTCACTGTTCATCTTTTAATTTTATTGCAACGCATTTGGACTATCCTCTTCCTTCTACACCTCTATGTCTGATATCCATATTAGTCTTCAATCCTTCGTTATGCACTTTCCATTACAATCTTTCTTTCCATCGGTATGTCCATAAACTACCCACATGCACTGAAAATTCAAAGAGGTCATCTTCTCCACCCCCTCCCCCCCACCAAAATCTTCCCTTTCGAACACCGTAATGTGCTTTCCCAGCCGCTAAGCACCGAAAATCATTCTACCTTCTTGTCGCGTGTCTAGGCCGCCGAATTTCGAAATATTGCGAAAATGCGCGTTTGGCCTATTCAGCCGCTCATTGCCCTAACTTTTATGTGCCTACCACTCTATGGACCGGCAACAGGCGATTGTCAATTGAGAACGTTTGCGAAAAATTAACTTCCCGCTACGTCTATAGCCATCATTCAATATTAGGGGAAAGACAATTTAGGAAAAGCTTAGATTTCTTCTGTTCATCGCAACCTCAAAAATTGCATCACATTTTTCGAAACACTTTCAGACTCTTATTTCTTTCACATCGCTGGGTCATTATTATTTGCTTTGGAAGATGACTGTGGGCGGTGTTATTAGAATTGTACCCAGTTAAGGCATTTTCATGTTGAACACAAACTCCGGTACAAGATTTATAAATAAGTGACCAATTTCTCGCGGTTTCTTCATATTGATTGTCTCGATCGTTGAAGGATTAAGCAACTATATTGACAATTAGGCTAATATTTGCGCAAGAAAACTTTTCGAGGTCAAAAATACACGTCAGTGTTAAAACGTTCACTGATGTGTGGTGGTGTGCAAGTTTGCAATTCAACAAATTTTTTCCTTCACTATCTCATCTGCAAATTTCAATTTTTGAGATAAATTACCCCTCTGGCAGTTTTTTTAATGGGTGAACATCTGGCGAAAGGCTAAAAATTAAACAATTTTTCCATCCTTCTGAGCTGTTCATAAATCCTTTCTTCCTTCCTTATATGAAATTTCAAATGTGCATCCAATCTTCTCTTGAAAGCATTCGTTATAAGATAATTATTCATTATTTTTTTCGTAGACAGAAATTATGACGAACTTTAATTGGAACAATGCTCCTATTGGTGATGCCCATTATGTATTGGTTATTGTCTTTTCATTTGATTTTTGTTCATTCATATAAAAGACGTCAATTGCCATTATTCCTCATATTGTTTAAAATTGAATTTGCTCTTCCTTTTTGAAATTACCCACAATTCCATAGCCTAGAGTTTTCGAATTTCGCGAAAAGCAAACATTGCGAAATGTGATTTAAAATCTTTTACGATTCTCGTCTTTTTGAATTTATTTAATTGGCTCGATTTCTTTTCAGTGAATATGTCACTCATCGATCCTAATCGCGAAAATGGATTGATCCAACCAAGCGAGCCACTGATATCGTCCGTAAGCCACCAGGGAATTTCATAAAGCATATGTATATTATTGTTTTAGAAGAATGGCAATGGCATTAGTCATGCCGATCGGTCGGAACGAAGTGACTCAAAACCGAAATCAACACCGAATCCAGAAGAGCATGCTGGAATTCTCAGCAGAATCTTCTTCTGGTATGTTTCTTTCTATTTTGTGAAGCTATCTAGACATTGGAATATCTGAAAATCCCGGAAAAAATAAATTTCTTAAAACCCCCGATAGATATTACAAAAAAATAATTCAAACTAGTTTTTCACCGTAAAATATACTAGCATCATGTTTCAATCGCTCTAAAATTTCAGTTTTGTCACCGCCTATTTTTGGCGAACTCGAAACGCCAAGACGGACGCCGAGATAATGCAAGAACCACTGGAAGAACTGAAATCGGAAAACGCGACCAATGATTTGCGAGCGTAAGAATGAATATCAGATTTCAGAAAACAAACCTGTTTCAGTAATTGGGAAAGGGTCCATAAGGAAAATGGGACGTTCTTTAAAGCGGTTATGCTCACGGTTTGGTTTCGAGTTGCACTCATGGGAATTCTGATGTTGGCGGAAGAGTTGATTCACCTCATCCAGCCAGTTCTTATGGGACGTCTCATCGAATATTTTCTTCCGTCAAGCAATTTGTCATTGGAACAAGCGCTATGGGGTAAAAATATAACTAATTAATTTTGTTCAAAAATCACAATAATTTATAATGACATCATAAAAATTTATCAAATTTTTTAAAAAATCTATTATAAATTTTAAAATATGATGGCAAACGCGCCCCATCGATCCGCCGAATATTTTAAATTTTAGCCGCAACTGGTGTTGCTGTTACGTCAGTTCTGTCGGCGTTGTTCCATCATCCATATTTCAACCAACTGCTGAAAATCGGCCTGAGAACACGTGTTGGTGTCTGCACACTTCTTTTTGAAAAGGTTCAACCGCTCAAGCTTATTTTTTGAAGCTCTTTTTGATTTTTTAAAGGCAACGAAACTCAATGCCACTTCTCTTCAAAAAACGAGCACTGGACAGTTGGTGAACCTACTCTCCACCGACGCTATCAAATATGACTCGGTTGGTTATCTGAAACGTTTTTTCAAACTTCTTCAATTTTAAGTCGTTCATTTTCATCCATTACCTTTGGATCTGCCCAGTGCTTATTGTTGCTTATGGTGTCGTGATCTACCAATACCTGGGGCCGGCAACACTTGCTGGTTTTGGCGGCATGCTGGTCATTTTCTTCATTCAAGCGCATCTTTCAAAAAGGCTTGGAAATGCTAGGTACGTGAAATCGAGGAAAAAAACATTGAAGAGATTTCCAAAATTCTAGGCTCCCAATCTCGAAATGTGTTGATAACCGACTATCGATTACTAATGAAATAATCAATGGAATTCGTGTCATCAAGATGTACACATGGGAAAAAGCATTTGGAAAAGTAGTCGAGGATTGCAGGGAGTAAGGCATTCTGAACAAACAGCGTCAGTAACGCCCAATTTCAGAAAAGAGATAGAAGTGGTCCGAGGAGCTTCGATTTGCAGTGCTCTTGTCATGGGATTCTTCTATAGCTCAGGAAAAGTGTCAATTCTCATCTCACTTCTGGTATTTGTAATGCTCGGTAATATGCCGAATTCCCAAGACGTATTCGTCGCGATTGCGTTGTTCAATTCCATTCGTCTGCCATTCTCATTGTTCTTCCCATTTTCAATTCATCTCCTCCTTGAAACGAAAGCGATTTCGCAACGCGTTCAGGATTTTCTTGAGCTTGATGAGTTTGATTCCAACGCCAATGAAACAGAAACCGAATCGAAGACGGTAAGAAAATAATGGAACATAAATACGACATTTTTTATTTGCTAAATTTCAGCCGCTGGTTTCGACGGAATTGTATCCGATTGAAAAACCATACAAGATAAATAGAATGGCAACGAGCAATCCGAAGATTTCCCTAAATAACTTGACTACCGTTTGGACGGAAGCGGTAAAATGAATATATTACAACCATACAAGTTACTCTTCAGAATCTCGACACCAATGAAAATGCTTCTTATGCTGTGAAGAATGTCACATTTTCGCTTGAAGGCCCACAATGCGTCGGTGTCGTCGGAAAAGTCGGATCAGGAAAATCGTCGCTGGTGTTGTCAATACTTGCCGAGGCGAAAATCGACACCGGCAGCCTTGAGATCAATGGAAATTTGGGCTATTGCGCGCAAGAGCCATGGTTGTTCACCGGAAGTGTTCGAGACAACATCCTGTTTGGAAATGCCTATGATAAGGAGAAGTACGCGCGTGTCTGCCAAGTGTGCTCACTTGTACCGGACTTCAAGCAACTTGTGAACGGAGATCGTACTCCAGTGGGAGATCGTGGATCAACTCTTTCGGGTGATTTCAATATCTCGTCCCAAATTGAAACGCTCGTGTTTTAGGAGGCCAACGCGCTCGAGTTGCCTTGGCTCGCGCTCTCTACGCTGACGCCGATATTTATATTCTCGACGATCCGTTGTCTGCCGTTGATGCCAACGTGGGACGAAAAATCTACAACAAGTAACATCAAATCGGATAGATTTTGCCCGTTCTTTACAAAATGTTTCAGTGTGATCAAGAAGTATTTGAAGGACAAATTAGTGATCCTTGTGACGCATCAAGTTCAATATTTGGAAGATTTGAATACAATTTTTCTCATGAAGGATGGTGAAATTTTTGCGACCGGACCAATTTCACAACTAAAGAACGATCACAAAGAGCTGTTTCACTCAATGGAAGAAGAGGAAGTGCTGAAGGAAGAGCAGACGGCGCCAAGAAAATATTCAATTTCGTCCGCGCGGAATCGGACGACATCTGCGACTAGTGAGCAACGGCATGTCAGCTTGATGGATCTTACCTGTCCGAAAGGTGAGAAACGAATCTGAAAAACTGGAATTAGTATTTGGTTTTCAGATCACGCTGCTCATAGCAGATTATCAATATTCGACGACCACGATGCTTGTGATTACGAGATTGACGAAGACCACTCATCAGGAAGCGTCCCGTATTCTGTCTATTTCAAATATATGCAATCAATGTGCTCGTCTCGCTTGTCGGCAATTTGTCTCGTCATATTTGTGGTCTTCGTTCAAGTGATGTTCAATCTCTCCGACTGGTGGCTTAACAAATGGGCGACGGCATCGGAAAGATGGTCGCAACTAAATAGAAATGACACTGACGTCCATTATTACGACACGTATACCATTTTTGGATTTGACCTCAATGTTACATTCGATGGCTACTGCTATTCATTCACCATCATGCTCACCGTTTTGCTGATATTCGGATTGATCCGAGTCGCTTGGTTCCGATTAGCTGAATTGCATGCCTCAACCCGACTTCATTCGATGATGGTGAATTCCGTGATTGATACCCATGTCGAATTCTTTGACAAGAACTCAGTTGGCAGAATTGTTAATCGATTCTCAAAGGATATGGGAGTTGTGGATGACCAACTGGCTTTCGTTTTCTTTGAGTTTGTAATGGTAACTAATCGAAATTTCAAAGAGAAATCAAAAAATTGTTTGTTGTCTTCAGGGATTCCTTTCATTTTTTGGCTCCGTTGTTGTTATCATCTTTTTGAATCCATTGGTCTTCTTGGCGACCGTTCCTCTCGCTGTTATCATTGCATTTTTGCGAAAAGTTTATATTAGTCGTGCTCGCGAGCTCAAGCGACTTGAAGCGACAAGTAAGACAATACAACGAGAACATGATGATTCGCGCCAATTTTCAGCAAGATCACCAATGAATACTCACATCTCTTCCACAATGAATGGTCTTACTACAATTCGAGCGTTTGGAAAAGAGCCAGACATGATTGCGAAATTCTATGTGGTGCAAGACAGAAACACGACGGCAACTCACTTGAACTTGATCGCGTCAAGATGGTTTGCAGTGAACATTGATATTATTGTGGCATTCTTCATCACCGCGACCGCATTCATTTCCGTTCTCAATGCAGGTGCATAGTGATGGTTTCATCCATCATCGATTCAATTCCTCAATTTTCAGAAAACCTTTCTACCGGCGAGGTTGGCCTCATGCTGTTTTATGCGATCAATCTCACCGGCTTCTTTTCATGGATTATGCGACAAAGTGCCGAGCTTCAAAACGCCGTGAGTTCTGGTTTCTGGCGCGACGAGACTCGTTTGGCGGATTATGATAATTTTTTTTATTATTTTTCGATAAGTCGCACGGGGAGGGCAGTCTCAACAAGAGCGTTTTGATTGCGGCGCGTTGTTCGTGCGAACACATTCTCAAGTGCATTCGCGTCGTCGGCACACAGCAAAACAAAACAAAAACGAGTCTCGGCGTTTATTAATAACAAATTCAATGATAAACGCCGAGTTGCAGATGGTGTCGGTTGAGAGAATTGTCGAGTACACAAAATTGCCCAATGAGCATAACGATTTTCGGAGCAAATCGACCAAGGAAAATCGGGATAAGCAGCTTGAGGAGCGCGGTTTCCCAATTTTTGGAAGCATCACCTTCCTTCACGTCAATGTCTTTTATGGAAATGAGAAGGTCCTTTCCGATGTCAGCTTTGCAATCATGCCCAAGCAAAAGGTATAATTGATGGGAATGTGACATTGTGTAAAGAGGGGCATGTTTTGAAGATTGGAATTGCCGGACGAACAGGTGCTGGAAAGTCCACATTGCTCAAAGTGCTTTTCGGATTAAAGTGCCACACTAGCGGAGCGGTGAAGATTGATAACATTGATGTTCAATCGATGAGCTTGAAAATTCGTCGAAAAGGAATGGCAATTATCCCACAAGAGCCCGTCATTTTCATTGGCACTGTTCGCATGAATTTGGATCCGTTTGATGAATATTCCGATGAGGTCTTATGGACGGCATTGGAACAAGTAGGAATTGTGAAATGTTGAATTTTTGAATCTGTACATGATTGCAGTGCGAATTGAAAACGACAATTTCGGAAATGGGTGGCCTTTCAGCACAAATGCAGGAAGGTGGCTCAAATCTGTCGGTTGGACAAAGGCAATTGGTATGCCTCGCGCGCGCATTGATCCATCGTGCCAAGATCATCGTAATCGATGAAGCCACTGCCAATGTGGATGCCGCCACCGATGCCGTCATCCAGAAGACGATTCGTGAAAAATTCAGCAACTCCACTGTCCTTATCATTGCTCATCGCCTGAACACAATTATGGAGTGTGACAAAGTCATGGTAGATGAATAACAAAAATTCAAAAAAATATTTTTCTTGGTGTAGGTCTTCGAGAACGGCCATCTACTTGAGTTCAACTTCCCAAAAAATTTGATGAATGACACGACTTCTGCCCTCTATCAGCTTGCATTGCAGTCGGGCGCCGAAAACGTTGAAGCTCTCCGTCAAGCGGCAATTGCTGCATATGATAGAATATAAGAAACCGACATAAATTATTTTTGATTTGTTTATTCCATATTTTTTTCATATCACTTTTGTGATTGTTTTTAGTATCAAACCAATCATTCCTTATGTTGTAATTGTGGCACGCCACGAGAATTACCGGTTTTTTTTTTCAAACATAGCAGAATACTTTGAGCGCTTTAATTTCCAATTGATTTTCCGATTTATTTGATTGCTTCCGTAATAAATATTTTTTTCAGTCATCGATAGATCGAGAGCTGGATATATTATTTACACCAACACCACATTCCAATATTTTTTTCTGGTCTTCACTCCTGCTCTTAATGGATGCTGGCCGGCTCCGGAGAAGGGATTTTGTTTTGTTTGAGCGTTTTCCAGTTGCCGACCGAGTTTCAAGCACTCGCACCGCCCGAAACCAATTTTGGTATGAAGACCGCCCGCCCCCTTGTTTCACCTACCGCTGCGACGAATGAGGCGTGAAGAGGCTCCGCATATAAATGCATAAAAGAGGCGCGCAAAGAGCCGCACAATCGGAGCTCGCAATTCAAAAAGCCGAAAGGGGCGCCGTTGTTTGAAAGAACATTGGAGTGCGAAAAATCCAATCGACACCGTGAATTTTTGTGCTGCGCGACTGTCCTGCAATTTTTTTTATATTGTGTGTGCCCCCGGTGCGTTATTGTCTGCAATCGGTCGGCGTTCACCCACTCTCATTCAAGCGCCTATTCATTGTCTTTTCACTATTGATTCGGATCATATTCCATCCATCATGAGTTTCATTTTTCAAACTCTAATCTTCTTAGTGCTAATATCCATTGTCTCGCCATCGAACGAAGAAACCGAAATCAAAACGGTTAGTATTCCAGATCTCCTTTTTTGTTGCTTATAACAGTTTTCAACTTTAGCCTCTTCGATTTCGAGCTCTTCGTAATTTTGGAAGCTCTGAAGTGTCGGCAGGTAAGATCAAAGCCTCTTGATCCATATATCTTGCAACATTTTGCAGAGCAGATAGCGGATGCACCAGAGAGTCAGCCAATCAAACGAGAAGAGCCATTTCTTCTAGCCGATTCTTCGACGGAGCAGGAAGAAGAGTGCGAAGCTCTACCAAATCGCACGCGCACTCGTCCCTCCTTCTTCCAATGTCGAGAAAGTGCGTAAAAAATTCAATTTTGTCTCTAAATCACCATTAAACATTTCCTTTTTTCAAGATACCAAGCTTGAACTCCACGGCGGAGCAATAACAAACATCAACGGCGATGACACATACCCGGTATCGTTTGCATCTCCGATTCGAGTATTCTTGGATGTTTCAAGCAACACGAATAAGAGGTATGATAAACAAAAATGGATGTGTGAAATTCAACACCTCGCTGGGCGGGAAGACCGCACTTGAACTCTGTTTTTTTTTGCGGAGATTTTGAAAATAGCACAAAGAACAATGCGAGATATTTGTTTCATTGCAGATATGACAATTTGGGTGTTGAAGTGTCGCTGTTCAAACGGTCAACGGGTTGGTTCGGTTGCGGATGGCTATTTTTGCCAAGTTTCGGGTTACTGTAGGCGGCGCAGTTAAACGAAGACCAAAAATCAAGATTTCAGTAGCAATTATGAAATGTGCGATGATAATCCATCGTGTCCAATCACGCCTGGCCGGCAGGTCATCGAATTCGAAATTGATCCCACTAAATTGTTCACGAATGTCTTCCGCCTGATTCATTATGATTTGGTATGGCCTTGAATGAGATCAATTCTCAAAATTAATTTCATTTTAGTCAGCCTATCAGCTGGTTGTGAAAATTCGTGACAATCGTGATCCATATCGTGAGCTGCTGTGCGCCACCATTCAAACGAGAATCATTTTATAGAAATGAATTGACGATGTTTCAAGCTAATTATCCACCATTACAGTATTTATGCAACACATTTTCATGTCCTACCGGTCTTAATTTATTGGTCTTTTTAAAACATGTTTTAAAGAAATTATTTTTCGGTTGATTTGCAGAAAAAACTGCAAAATCTCGAATGGTTCAATGGTCAAGTTGTTGTATAAATAAAAAGAAAACACAAATAAACATTGAGCAAATAGAAGAACACAATTTTTTTTTTCGAATATACCGATCAATCTTTTTCGTTATTTTGAAGGAAATGGTCAGTGAAACTGGTTGCACTATTCACTCGATCTCCTCTGATCAATTTAGATCTCATTCACCTTGGGATGGAACTTTCGATCTCACATCTAAAGATCAAATAGATAATGAGCGATTTTCCGATTGTCTTCTGTTTTTTCGAGATTAACAAAATGTGACGAAAAAATTGTGAAGACGTCAGCAAATAAATTAATTAACGCCTCATGTTTGCAAGTATTTTCAAAACAAAATGTTGGTTTCACAAGGTTAACTATGCAAACTATTCGATGCCTTGAATTGCTAATAAGTGCCCATCTGATGGTGCTGCTCCTTTAAAACCAGTCGAACAACAATCAGAATGAATAAAAATAGAATCATCGCGTTCCATTGGAAAGTAGTGAATGATGTGTAAATAATTTACAACTGCTGCTGCAGCTGACGGGATAATCAAGGAGTACGGTAGAAGAACACCCGAAGCGTTAACAGTTTTTGGTGTTAGACAGTTTTTTTTTGAAGACCAACGATTTTGACGACGAATTTTGCAATATAAATTTTTCTTAATGGGTTCGTTTTTGCGCTGAACCAGGAAACAAACGAGATGACCCGCTATCTCTTCGTTCTGCAATTTTTTTTCTGAATCTTTGCCCCGATTAAAGAACGAACTGAAGGTGAGAAAATGAATGATGATGTTCAAAGCATTTATTATGTTCAATATTTATATACAAATCCGGTTGTGATGAATGAGTGAGATCAATCATTATATAAGCTTCTTCGTGAGATTTTGATGATCGCTGCCTATTAAGGAATTTCTCGAGTTCAACGCTTATCCGTTGAAGAATTGAGAGTTCAATAACATTGATCGCGAGGAATCATCGTTGTTGGTCATTATACATTGAACGGTTTTAGTGGCACACATCTGGGGAACCGGTTCGCAAAACGAGCGAACTGTCGAAGGGTTATTCGACATCAGTAGATCGTACACATCAGAAGACAATTGGGGATCGTTAAGAATCGTGATACTCATTTTGCTGCAAGAACAGAATTATTATTATTATGCGAACGATTTGGCGAGGTCGGCGGCGTTGAAATGGCAGCGACGCGCATCAAACTATAAACAAAAAAATTAAAAATCTAATTAGGACTATTTTGTTTGATTTGCAAGTTGGGGGAAGAAAACAACAACAACAACAACAATAAATGATTGACTATCAACTTCAATTTCTAGTCAATAATCGGAATCGAAATCAAATTCAGAATCAAAAACACGAAGGGTGGTTTTGAGAACGAGAGGAGAGAGTGCAGTCAATCAATTGAAGACGATGGGTTTTATCATTTCGCGGCTTTATCAATTCTGAAAATTTTGCGCCGCATGTGACCAGTCCCTCATTGAAACTTGTGAATTGAAGGTGTGAAGGTTCATCAGTCATTATAAGGAAACATTAATTTTACACTAAAAAAAAAACAATATGAACGTAAGGATTCATTTGTGGAATGCAAGGATTTGAATTTCGGCAAAGACGGTGGAACATTTGTGATCGGTATTCAGAAAATTTGACAGATTGCCTCCCGAAAAAAAATAAAATCGAGATTGTTTGGCATTCGAGAAGCTTTGGTGTTTTACAGACGCCGCTGTCTCACAATTCTTGTTCGCCGTTTTGACCTTCGTGGTGAATGTTCAAGCGTAGGAAATCAAAAGCCATAATTGATCTAGTACACATATATCATCCATACTAACAGCATCAACAATTGTATATGGTACACTAAACTAGTGGTGACGGTTTTGAAAAATGACCACATGCCCTAGGCATTGCCTCCCCTTAAAAAAATACAAAACAACAAGTGAGAGAGTGGCAAATGAAAGAGGCAAAAATAATTACAAATGTCTTTCGTTTCTATTCGTTTTTTGACCGCTGCTGGTCACTTATCATATCACGAACCTGGAGAGAGGGTCATTTTAAGGCAAGTCAGTCTGCAGAAAAAAAAATTGGTTGCTAGATAAAATCAAGGCGAACCATCTATCAATTGGTGGCGCGATGCACGAGTTAGCCGGTGTCATTTTATACGGCGGCCAATCTCGCCTCCCTCACTAATTTTTGCTGAAGAGCCATTCTACCGTAATCCACGACGACGTCAGCAGCGACGTCATCCACTTTCGCGATGGTCTAATGGAAAGTCGGATCGCATTTGGTCAACATCTTGACAGTTGTTCAAGTGTCTTGTGTTCAAGATCAAGGTTTATAACAGGTTACATCAATTTATTGAGTTTTGAGGTATTACGCGTTGAATAAATGAGTAATAGTTAAATCGTTCGGATTGTCGGAGTTCTTTGACAGCAGGAGAAGACCTGAAAATTGTTAAAATTGTGATATCTTGGAAGATTGTAGGATACCGCGTCGCGGAAGTGCTTGATGAATGATGAGAATATGATTGGGGTGTAGATAGGACTACAGACAAATATCCATAGTGAAACCTGAATTTTTAAATCGAAGTTACTGTAGAAAATTTTTTATTTCTCAAAAAGAACTATATTTATATATATATACACTTATTTATTTGCATAACCCCATAATTAATGTCATTCTCGAATTCGATATGTCGAGCGTCGTAAATCTAGCCATAAACTAGTTTGTCTTCTTCATAGCCTTCACTCATTATTACTATTATTTTAGATCTTCAATTTTCAGAAAAACACCAATTTTTTTCTAAAAAGAGTTTTTTTGATCAAATTTCTTTTTGGGAACCCCAAGAGAGTTCGCCGAACAACGATTCGGATACATTGATGTTCATATTCGGTAAATTTGGGCCAACGTCATACTAACTTGTAATCCGACGTCAAACACTATCTGGATGAGAGCATCGCCAGCCTCGGAGCCCGTCAATACAATGAAATCCAGATTATCTTCAATGAATCGAAATGTGAATAATGTTCGAGAAATCACGTCGACTAGCACGATAACAAATAGCACTCGTACGAGACTTCTGAAAAAAACATATTTTCTTGATGTCCCCACCTCGCGCGCGCGCACGATAATTAGCGACGCAAATAGCACTACCGTACTTGGAAAGAGAGATACTGAAACCAGGGTCATAGTTGATTTTCTCCCTCTTCGATAATAGACAGACCGATAAAAGTAGAAAAGATAGAAGGGACGGAAGCAGAAAAAGTGCGAGTCTGAAATGAGAAAAAAAAAACAATTTTTTTGATCTCATCTCTCCCCACAAAGTAATGTACCTGCAGTAGAGAAAACTTGGAAATGGAAGGCATAGTTTCAATAATGCTGGATTGAATATCACAAAGCATATAATTAGTGGAATAAGTAATAATGATACAAGGATCTTGCGACTCTCCACGAATGGCCAATATACCTAAATGGTATATTTTATCAATTCGGAACTTAAATGGGTGGAGAGGTGGATCAAAATCTCACTGAGAATAAGCTCAAATACCGATCCAAGGATATCGCAAAAATAAGTAAAGCTTGCGAATCGATTAGTGGCTGAACGAATCCATCAAGGAATGCCATCCAAACAGATGATAAATCTTCATCCTCCTGAGTTTGATTCCACATTTCCTCAAAATCCGAAGAGTACTGAAAATTGCGCCATTCGCCAAGAGCATTTTGAATAGAACAAAAATTACAACTCGTATAATTATATGAATTTGATTTACTATTGAGAAACTGTCTGGATTATGGGGAAAATCGAAAAACTATGTTTCAAGGGATTTTCAGCTTACAAAAGGTATTCTGAAAACAATAATCCTCCGTTGTCAAAAATTTTATCAAGAATTTGCAAACACTTTTCAGCGAACTTCATTTCCAGTCTACAAGGCCATTATGCGGTTTCGTAAATCACACGGGAAAAACTATAAAATAATCACAAGACCTCATTACAAAGGCTTTTAAATCAAAAGGTTGACGCCAAAAAAGGGAACTTACAAAAATAAGAACGTCGAAGCAATAAATAGCTGAAGATGTAATTGACCAAATAGTTAATATCAAAAAATATAATAAAATTAAGAGTCGGACTCTGCAAAAAAAAAATTGGAATATCTGGAAATGCCAGAAAATGGGCGACTTTAAAATGCCATGCTTATTTTTGCCATTGATTAAATTTCCTATTAAAAATGCCAAATTGAATATGGTTGCACCGATTGAAGCAGCCAATCGAAGCCATTTGAATATTTCCGTTTTATAAAATGACGGTAGACGCGGCTCTTTGGTGCTGAAATTATTCATCATATAGATGACAATAACTATAAAAACCTATTAATAAATGAATTGATTGTTACATAGCATGCAGATTCAATATGATCAGTGGTGCCGACATCTGAAGATTGCGTCGAAGAAAGCACAAAATGCGATATTTGTGTGAGGTTCATATAAGTGCCGGTTTCATTGTTCATATTTGACTGAAAGTAGTACACGTCGCAGGCATCGAATACATAAATAATGGCAATAAAACGATCTATAGAATTGAGTTAAATTGCCCAAATCGCTTTGCCGGGTGACACGAATTGTTTATCCGGATTACACGGTTTTTGCGCAAGTACACACACACACACACACACACACACGCATACACGCATACACAAAAATGTGTGTATGAGGTGTTTCACGTTTAATTTTCGAAAATGTATATACAATTCATAATTGGCTTTCACTTGCCCCGCATTTTCTAGTAAAGTGAATGCCAATGCGACAACGCCACTTCACACGTCGAAACCTAGCGGAATACATTATTAATATAATTCGTAGATTGGACAATCCGAACGCCTATCGAGCTCTGGATGTCCAATGCGATGAGAGGAAAAAACAAGTTTCAATGTTGAATGTAGATGATCCACATAATAATGGTGCGCTAACCCGATGATGATGAGGATCATCGCGATGCCTATGCAATAACTATTAATGTGCTAAGTTTTCAAAATTTATGACGACATCTAGGTGACACAAGGAGACATTCAACAAACATTCCAGATGGGATCTTTGAAGAATATTTTGTTGAAATTCAACGCATTATTCTATGGTAGAACATTTATAGGATGTATGGGCGATGCGCGTTTGAAACAGCTCTGGATATCAAGTTGAATTGTACCACTTAAGGACATACGTATAACTTTCAAAAATAATTTTTAGAAAATTCTAAATGAGCTTCCTATCTTGACAGTTTTGGCGTTTCGAAAAATCTGCAAAAAATCGATTTTACAACTAAGTTTCAGCTTTTTTTTAATGAGATAGGTGATCTTGCAGCTTTTTTTTTTTCGTATGTATTCCAATTTGGTTGCTGATCTCAAAAATTTCTAGATTTTTAGCAATACTTAAACTTCATCTAAAAAACGATAAAATTAGATTATCAAATATTCGAATTAAGGTTTAAAAAACCATTACCAGCTTTTTTTCTACAAATTATTAATAATCCTTTAAATTTTCTACTATTGAATAGTCTTTTACAATTCCAACAATCTTTTTTGTAATGAGAAAGAAAACAATTTAAGAGTTTCTTATAATTATTTCCTCATATGCCAAAAATTTGCGTTCAATTGAGTAGAAACGCAAAAAGTTTTCTGCAGGAAGTGGGATTCGAACCCACGCACCCATACGAGTACCAGAACACCCAGTGAACCTCGAAACCTCGAGGCAAGCGTGTATCGCTTGAGTCTGGCGCCTTAGACCGCTCGGCCATCCCTGCACACATTGGCAGCGGGGTGCGCTCAGTACACACTGCCGCTAAATGTCCGCGCGTCGTCTGCGTCTATCATTCATTCTCGCGGATGCCCAATTGTTGAGATAGCGTTTGCAGAGGGTGCAATACAAAAAATCGTAAAATTGGGCAACTGATGTGTTGAAAATTCCCGTCACTTCAAATTTCGATAAATCAAATCGCACTGATTTCAATAACAAAAATTTTCCCATAAATAAATAAATTTAATCACTCAATCAGATAAATTAAATTGGAGCTCGAATGAGTTGCTACAAGTGTGGGATTTAGAAAAAAAAAAACTGGAAAGATTTTTGTAATATATATCGTGTCTGTAATACTCGGAAAAATAAAACCCACTGAAAGCTTAGATATAATTATGCGATCCAAATTAGGAATTTTCAAGAGAATACAAAAAGTGAGAATAACGAATAGGAACTTTTTAATTTTTATCGTGTATTTTTCGTTTCAGGGCACAATTAGTCTTCAAAATCAATCAAAAGAAATTTGAAAAATAGGGTATTGTTAGAAAATTTTCAGTAAGGTTCAAATCAGGTTAAATTTCAAGAATTTTTTAGACCGGCTCATTCATCAAGCATAATTTAACCAAATCTCTTCGATTCTGAATTTTTGTGCCATTTCGTCATTCTCCGACGTTTCCCGAATAGACTGATACTGATTACACCCAACCATCACAAAAAACTGACGCATCACAGATTATCATAAATTATGTAAATTTAAAATTTCGCATGTCAAACAATTCAACAAAATGTCACAATTTCACATCATTGATTGTCACAATTGTTTTCATTGAGCGTAATACTCTGAAATTTTAAGGTATGCCTGAGCTACTGTGCCGAACCGAAAGAATCGAGCATGTGCGCAACTTTCGCACCGAAGTTCGAGGCCTTCTCGATGTCAAGCATCTCATCGATCGGGCATGTATCCAAAGAAACATGAACCATTCTCATGTTCATACAATTTTGCTAAGGTTGGAAAATCTGAAATTACTCAAACACTTCTTTTATTTTCAGCTTATTCTCCGAGCTCACTGCAATGTTCCCAAAGGAGAGATTTGATCTTGCTCTGTTCAAAAATGCCATATTTTCAGTGTCTGATGCTGATATAGGTCCTTAAATGCTATAATCAATGACGGGCTTTTTTTTCAGCTCCACGAGTTCATCACAAGATTCAAAGCTACTCTGGGACGGATTTTTTCGATGTTAACCAGACTTGGATCGTAACATAGTAGGTTTTTGTTGATATTTTCAAATCGCAATACAACATTCAGCGCCTCGCTTGATGGGCTGAAACAGAGCCACGTGGCAATCGCAACACTCGAAGAACCAACAAATCTTGGGCTTGAAATGGAAGAGACCCGAGTTGTTATTTTAGTTCTCGCCCCCAGTTTTGATGTAGATATTCTGAAACTGCGTCTGAATACCAAATGTATTTCAGAAGCATACCAAGTCGGCACCGGAAATTGCAAGAACATTTGCGACATTAATGCTTAATGATAATCTTCGACAATTCATTTCGGATGCTGCTGATGACGACCAGGTAGTTTGGCATTGTTTACAGCATATATGTATTACATGACAATGTACTCTCATTGTTTCTGAATGTGATGTCATGCTGATGGTTTGAACTTTAAAATATTCTCCTTCATCACATCACATCCAGTGCCAATATATATTATATTGCATTTCAGATAATACTGAAAATCAAACAACCGCACTGGCAAATTTAATGATGAATTTGAAATTTTTAGATACGCGAGAGTCTTAAAGAATATGCCCATCAATTATCTGAAACCCTTGCAATCAATATTCGTGACAAAATGTCGGATAGTGATGATAGTGGGAAGAAACATGTAAGAAATCAAAAATAAATTTGAGAATTTGAAAAATTACAGTCATGTTGTCCGTATTATCCATTTCGGGGCATTGTAAAGGATTTTAGAAGAAAATTTCCGCATTATAAATCCGATTATCTCGATGGTAGCATTTTCAAAAAAATTTAATCGATATCTTTTGATTCAATTTTAGGGCTTAAAGATTATCGGGCTATATCTAAAGTAATATCGACAGCGGTATTCTTGGTATTCACTATTCTACCGACATCAATTGCCTATGGAATGCTAAACGATCAAAATACCAATGGTTTAGTTAGTAGGTTAAATTTTGTTTTTCCCACAGTGATTGGGCAAATTTTTCGATGTTCAAAAAGTGATCCTTGGCCAAGTCATTGGAGGAATTATCTTCGGAATATTTGGTGGTCAGCAATTATTAATCGTCACCACCACAGCGCCTTTGAGCATTTACATATCAGGTGAATCTAACAGCGTTCTCACTTCTATAAACATTCAAATTTTCAGTTATATACCAAGTTTGTGAGCACAATGGCTGGAATTTCCATCATATGTACACTGCTGTTGGAATATATGGAATGGCTATTCTCATATTATCTTCCATATTTCAATTAAGCTCTCTAATGAACTTCGCCACAAGATCGACGGAAGAGATATTCGGGCTTTTTATTGCTCTTACACTAACTATCAAGGCAATTGTTGCTGTAGTAAAAAGTAAATTGCCATAATTACTCCTCCCTTTTACCCCCTTAGATAAATAATTAATTTCAGCCTATTCTTTAAGTTATGCTAATTGCCATATAAATGATCCTGGTGAGCATGAATTATAGCAAATTCGGCAAATGATAGTGATCTTTTAGAACTTTGCGATCCAGCCCATGTTCTTCTATTCATTTTTCTTATGTTTGGTACTGTTTGGTTGGGAATGACTATCATGTCATTTAGAAGCTCCCCATACCTTTCAAGGTAGGCTCAAATATTACAATTTCACGATTTTCATAATCATCCCTTCAGGAGAAAGCGTGATGTTCTTTCTGACTATGCCCTTCCGATCTCCGTCCTTGTATTTGCTCTGATCTCGTTTTTCCTCTTTTACCATGTTAAAAGTAGCTTCTCATTTTCATTAACCCATTTTCAATACCACATTTTTTAAGAGGAAACATTCCCTATATACCCAAGGGAAACCGACGTGGTATTCAGCGCATTCTATGAGCTTCCCGGTGAGGCCCACCTTCCCGCTGTCGGGCTTGCCATCCCTCTCTCTATCTTGTTTTATATGGATCAGCTTCTCGTCACAAACACTGTCGACAACAAGGATAACAAGTATGCATAAAACTTGAAATGATCATCAAGTTGTTTAAAGATTGAAGAAGGGGTCGTCGCATAATTGGGATCTTCTGATTGTTGGCATCCTGAACATCTTCCTGTCGCTCTTCAGCCTTCCTTGGATGCACGGAGCCCTGCCAATATCATTCCTTCACTTGAAAGCGCTTGCAGATGTGGAAGATCGCCTTCACAATGGATATATTCAAACGATGTTGGCTTACTCTTTTTTTTTGTTGGAAGAAATGATAATATAAATCGTTTTCAGCATTGTGAATGTACGCGAAACCCGCTTGGCAACATTGCTTGCCCATATTGCTTTCATTCCGATCTACTTTTTCCTGGTGCCTTACATCACTCAATTCATTCCGACATCCATATTCAATGGTGTGTTTTTATTCATGGCGTTCAGCTCTCTAACAGGCAATGAGTTTTGGGAGCGCATCCTTCTCATTTTCACCGAACAGGCACTGCAAATATTATCATATGAAATTCGATTTCGCGTATTACAGAGAGCTTACCCACCAACTCATTATATTCGGCAGGTCCCGCAAAGAATAATCCACAAGTTCACTATTATTGAAATTGTGCAGCTTGTAATCCTATTAGCCGTTGGATTCGCACAGTGGCCATATTTGGAAATGATCTACCCAATTATTATTGGCTTATTTGTTCCATTTAGGTAATTTGAATCTTAGAAATGCAAAAAATCGACATTTTCAGACATTTTGTTCTCCCCTTGTTTATCCGGAGAGATTATCTGGAGGCAATCGATAGCAAACACTAAAAAAAGTAAATTTCTTAAAATCTCTACTCCTAATAAAGTTTGAATAAGCTTAAATATGTATTTATTAGCGCAAATATAAACAAATCATATACAATAAAAATATATTAGAAGAGTTGAAAACTATATGAAAATAAAATATAATGAATGAGAAAACAGAAATATTGGATTGCACTATAACGCCATTTCAAATAATGACACAGTTCGCTATTAAAAACTATATATTTCTTCATGAAGGACTCAATTTTACAAAATTTGTAAAATACAGTAACACTAATCATGTCAAAACAACTAACAAATTATGCGATTCATACACCGTAAAATGGATTTTTTGTCATTCTTATACTCGAGCAAAGCATTTAGATAATATATCAAATAATGGTGAAATATTGGAAAGTATGGCCGGCGTTAAAGCTCAGAAATTGATTCTTTTTTCCAATAAATATCATGGGACCCGAATTCAACAGAAAACTAAACACCGATGAGGGGAATGATTATTGAGTAGGGATGTGGGGAGATTGTCTTAAAGTGAAGTGATCTGCTCAACCTCCTCATCCTCATAATCTTCCTCGAGAATGACGAGGTCGTTATCGGAACAGTAAATCTCCTCGCTTGACTCGCGCGCAAGTTTTCCCTCCTCATGGTATCCTGCAATTTATCAATGATATTAGATTAACACGATGTGACGGATTCTCGAATGATCCTCATATGGGATTGAATCTGGTTCCCACCCCAATAAATTAGACATACTATTGAAAAATCAAAATTACGCACCACTTTCTTCTGAGAGGCTATCTGGATCTGCACGAAGTGTCTTCCTCTCATCGCTTTCTGAGTAAACCGAGCTGCTCGCTGTACGTGAGCTTGTTGTCGACGCGGCTGAGCTGGTCGAATCCGCTCCGCTCTTTGTACTGTCCCCTGTTGAAAATGACGCGGTCGACTCCAAATCAGGAGCAGCTTTGTAGCACACAGATTCATTATCGTCTGATGCAAACTCGTCCTCCTAAACCAATTAATTAAAAAAAAATTAAAATTAAGTCTTGTACCTCTTGCTCCTCGTCGATACTTCCGAGCCTTGGAGCTGATTTCGAGCGGCTCACTGGCGGACGGAAGTTCAAGCTTCCCGTCTGAAGGATCTGCTTGCGTCGCGGACATCCAACCGATCCTGTCAGCCTCGCATTTTGTGCCGACATTTTCTCACGACGATATTCCTGAAATGTCAATATTGATGTCAACGTTCAATATCGAACATTTTCTCACCTGAAGTGCGGCGTGGAGGAACTCCTGAAGTTTGGTGTTGATGATTGCCGGTTCAGAGTTCTTTTTGCAAAGAACCGCGTGGCAACGAAGTTCTGGTTTCAATCTGAATCAATATTCCAATGATGATATCATTTCGTTTAGAGCGCTCACCGTTTTCCGTCATGCTTATAGATCCAGCAGAACACTTTTGGGTATTCGGGTGGCGCTGCGCTGAACGTGATGCGATGCGCCCAATATTCGGTGAGACCCTGCTGTTTGGTTTCTGCTTTGAGACCAGATCGAGTAATCTGAACACAAATGATTAATTTGTAAATTCGATGTGTGTTTCGACGAAATTGTTCAGTTGGCTAAACTTCCCACAAACGTCATCAAATTTAAAATGGGGGAACCCAAATTTTTGGAATCCAATTCCGCGCTCTATTAGTTTTCAAAAGAACGCATCGACCAATGTCAAACATGTGAGAAAAAAAATAACAAGTTGTTTTTCAAAAAAAATTGTATATCCTCATAAAACCCACTGACAAAAAAAAAAGAATTGCGGAAGTTCCACAACAACACTCGAATTTAAGTACTTTGTTTTTTGGCCATTGCCGTCTCGTTCACGTGATCATATTTGATGTTCTAATTTTGAAATTAGTCCGAGCGCGATGATAGGCAAACTGATAAAAGGCCAAAATCCGTGCGCAAATATTATTTGGTATCAAAAATTGAATGAAATCGAATCGGGAGGGGAAACAATCAGGATTCTTATATTTGCAGATTTAGAACACTAATCATATGTACACAATTAATGTACGCGTGTCATCTAGTTTTTCCGTGAAAATTTGTTGCATAATGTACCTCAAGGTTCATTCCAAGATCATTTCTCGATCGCGAGCAATACGCTTTCCAAATCAGAGCCAACGGCTTCTCATAACAATGATCGCCTCGCGCCATCACCGTCAACACATTGCCAAGGTAGATCACATTGTAAGACTCGTCTGGTGGATTGATAGTGTACCTGTGAACAATATTATTACAATGAATGAATGAAATATTTCCGAACACCGTCCAACCTTTGCTTCTTTTTGCGGAACGGAATTGTGAAGAAGTTGGAGGCTGTTGACGCCGTGCTACCAAGAAATGGCATGACTGAAAAAAAATATATGAAGAAATATTTAATTTGTTATATTATTCAAGCAAAACAATTTTATAAGAGGAACGGAATATATAATGTGGGGTGAGGTCACACACACATTGCAAAGAGAAAAAAAAGAGAGGCGATTCGCAAACAATGATTGTTGGAAACATTTGCAAAACACATTAACACGAAAATGTCTTTGCTGAATTCGCTATCAAATTTGTGGAAAAATAATAGCGAACATGGGGGCGACTTAAAGATTCTCGAAACAGTAACATGATAATGTCACAAAAGGTGTGTTACAAATGTAGTTGTAACAAAAAAAGGCGACAAAACACATTCTCTTGGTTTTTTTATTTGGTGGTAATCGAGAATTGTAATGGAAAGCGGTATCAACAATCCAACAGTGCGCGGCGAGAGTGATCAAAAACAAGGCGAGTGCCGATTTCGAATTGACGTATACGATTAATCAAGAAATTACACGCCATGTCAAATGGTCTCTGATTCATTTGAACATCAATTCTGATGAAGCAAACAATCAGTGTTCAGTGTTGCTTTCAATTCCTGATTGTCTCATGTCGAACGTTTTTGTAATATTCGATTTTGCAATGAGAAGCGAAAAACAACGACCATCTCGCGATTCTTCATTTTGTTTTCTTTATAAATATGAAACATATCTCTTTTTTTTGTAATAGCGGAAACAATTTTGAAGAGTGGGCTCCAGTAATTCACATCAAATCGAATAAATAAAATTTGATTGGATTGAGAACATGTTGTGCCAAACGGTATCGGCATTGAAATGACATTAGCAGACAACAGAAAGAAGGCAAAATGAAGAAAACCTGGAAACTACAAGACGTTTTTCGCCTAATCTTTTGGCTGGGCAGCGCCAAGAAAACGGCAAATACATATTGCGTTGGCCGTAATGTTTGTGCACACACACATAATACGTGCATATGTGTACCCGGGAGTGGCCAGTGCGCAGAATCGTCGTCCAGTTTTTTTTCTGTTACGAGCTGATAATTTCGTAAAACATACCGTAAGAGAATTGCGGCGGTGGGAGGCGATGATATTGCGGCGCCCGAATTCCGGGCGATACTAGTTTAGAATTGATTGGTATACAAGCATAAATGATGTAATAAAGATGATTTTCAAAAGTAAAATGGCTTACAATTCGCCATGAATGTTTTTGACATGCTTAAAAAATCTATATTCATGCGAATAAAAAAATGGGAATCTGGATGCGCAAAAAATGTTTAGCGCCTTCAAATTGATTTCTCGCAATTTCTATAGAAAGCGACGACGCTTCAATAGCTTTCATCACCTTCTCAAAACTACATTTATTGAATTGGTGAAATCGAAAATTTGAAATTGAACATTTGATTGGGTTCGTTTAAAGTTTGCATCTTGAGAAACTTTCCTTAATTACATTGCTCTCGAAAAACCCCAAATTAATTTCGCGACGTTGGGCGGTCGCTGTTTTTATTTACGTCATTTCAAGTAGCGCTCATGACGGGAGGGGGGTAGGAAGGAACGGAAAAGCTTGAGCAAAATGAGTTTGGGCAATCGCGCCAATTAGAGGAATAACAAGTGAGAAGAAGATTGAGGATTTGTTCTATTTGTCGCACCTATTGGAGCCTTCTTGTCGGCTTTAAAAGAACCACAAAAAATGCCAAATTTCGTGGGCGATTTTATGGGGGCTGCTTCTATTGTCATATAAGGCGCGCTGAAAATGAATTTGTCGGAATGTGGGCGTCGAGCTGAAAACCGAGAAGATATGAAATATTACTCCATCATTTTCAATTTTTGTTACGCGCGCGCCCCCTTCTCGCAAATGTGGAATGTGGATGACCCGTCGAATGTCAATTCCTTTTTTGTTCGCCGTCCCAACAAGCCTTCAATCAATTAAGCGGCCCTATTAAAATATTGATGTGCACGTCGAAAGACGGGATGACTTCATCAGAGATGCAAGATGGGAACCTATATTGAAATGTAAGTGTTTCTGGGGGCGCCGGAGCCCAGCCGACATAATGGAAGTACTCAAACGAGCCATGAAATTTTCACATCGTTCGGCGCCGCGCAAAAGCAGCATCATTGAAAAAAAAAACACACACACACAAACCGCAGACAGTGTAAAACAAGAGTCATCCATACACGATTTGAGGTGAAGAACGAACATGTAATTAAATTGAAGAGGTTCTTCTCGCAGAAACTTGTCTCAAAAAAAAGAGGGATTGCTGAATTTGTGCAAAATGCACACAAATATTTTAAACGCGTTTTACAACATTGGATGGGTGTGAAAAAGAACGGGGGGATTATTGAAAATCAATGAGATATCAATTATACAGCATGGAAGAGATGAAGATACGAATGTCAACATTACGAATCATGTTGATATGCGAAGAGATATATATATCATGCTATGCAATGTTTGCGAAGGATACAGTACGATACCAGGCTGGGTGGATGAAGATTTATGGTGTAATGGTTGGGAGACGACAAGGGTTGCGTTCATTTCATTATTTTGGCGTGTTACGCTGGAATGTTTTTACTATCTTATGTAATGGAGAAGGGCAATTCTTCTCGTCTGCCGACACGATTGTTGCCGACGAAAGATTTTTTTAAAAGAGTGAAACATGTTCCTAGTCGGGATCATTGATCCTCGGTTGTTCAAATAAAAGGCATTTTGTCAATCAAGCAAATCCCAAAAAATTTCGTTTTTTTGCTCAAACGTAAAGGATTATTTTTTTCATCAAACTCTGAGGAGCCATCCTCAAGTACCCCCCCCCCTTAACATCGAAGCTACAAACCCCCTACACACACACATCCATAAACTATCAAAACTTGAGTAAATAGAAAAAATAGATGTCGGTGACAGTTTTGACAGTTTGAGAGGCGCAAAAAAGCTCCTTGAATAATATGCGTCTCTCTCATGGTGTGTGTGTGTGTGTCGGTTGAGATGGTGGCTTTGAAAGCTGCTGTCGTCAATTTTTTTTTATTGTTCTCGGAAAAGTCTTGGAAAAAGTGTCTAGCTGCTGCTGCCGTACCGTTCTCGTGAGCTCGCGCGCGCGCGGGTGCCTCCGCCACCGCTGAGCGCAAACTCTCCTCACTCCCCGCAGAGCCGGTTGAGACGAGCAAGAAGACACCTCGTGTATTCCCACACACACACATGCGTACACACAAGACAATCAGTGGCATGAGACGAATGGGAAATAGGAATAAGCATGTGGCGATGCGAAATCGGTTTCAGCCTACTCCCCGCTGGCAGCGACAGCGGTGGCGGCGGCGCCGAAAAAAAAATACGGCCGGCACAATAGGATTAATTGGCACAAACAAACGCTACAAAAAAATTTCTTAAAGGTGCACAGTTCACAGATATTCATGATCCTCTTAAGTTGTTAATGTATAGTCATTCAAAAAAAAAAAAAACAAAGGCAACAAAAAAATTGATTCAACAACGAAAATTGCTATTTATTTTCGCACCGTTACAATTCATATATACAGTGCCTGAATAGGAGAGGGCTAAACGCACTCAATCGTGAGAAATGTCACTATTTCAGTCACGGTGATTATTTCGAATTTGACCTACATTTCAAACTTTTGTTTGTGAGGTGTTTACCACAAAATAATAAAGTACAAACCAAAGTAATTAGGGTAATTAAGAAAGTTCAAAAGTGTGTCATTTAATTAAAACTAGAGGCTTCTACAAGAATTTATGTCATTTATGAACATAATGATAGCAAATATGGCGATGAAGGCTATACAGTTTTATTTTCTGCTAATAGAATTTTTAATCGACCTAGCAAAGGTGGCTCATATGTACTAGTCATTAAGTGCTCTTATTCGCTCTTGATACAAGTTTTATAGGTATCTTTATCAAGTACTTGAACAAATTTTCAATAGCGGTATGCACCGTAGACTAAAAAAAACTTCAAGCAATAATTAGAACAAGCATTTTTGCAACAATTTCGACGCTTTACAATCGACAAAAAAATAGGAAGAATTTCAAGACAGTATTGGCAATAAAATTCAATACACTTGAAAAGAAGATGGCCGTGAATGAAGCTGTTGTGCCACCAAACAATACATGATTCATTGTTGACTAAAAAAAAAATGCTAAAATGCCGCGAAACAATACTTTTATAGTGTGTTCAAATATGTGGGCTCACTGATAAAAAGTGTGAGTAATAAAAGATGCACACAAGACTATATATGGTATAGTTATGCACTTATCGTAGCTATGCTAAAATTGGCAACAATGGAGGGCTCGTTTCGATAAAAATAATGGCGGAACTTGAACAGAAAAAGCGACAATCAGAAAAATGACTTATCAAAATTTTTAGCGGGCGTTTTTTGTTCGACAGACAATTTGTATAGATTTGCTACTATGCTTCTTCGATTGGATAGAAATGAAGAAGGAAGAGTAATTAAATGTATACAGGTGAATAGTCGGCAAGGCAATTCAGACCTGTCAGCTGATCTTGAGAAAAGCAACACGAAGAAAAAAGTGACCGTATTTGACATTCTCTTTGTCTAGATTGCGATGATGGCAAAAAAATTGTTTTCTGAGGAAAACTGCCCAGGGGCGTTGCAAACCTAATTTCAAGGTTTGCATTTTGGAGACGAAGAAAAAACAGATGAAATGAGAATGAAAAAAACGAGATATATACACCCAGTGGATAACCCAAACCCAAACGTTTCTCATAAAATCTGGATGGAATGGAAAAGGGCGAAAGGAAGGAGGAACGGAATGATCAAATAAAAAAAAAGTAAGTAAGCGCAAATCGCACCATCGAAGAGAACAGAACGCCGACGAGGCGAAAAAAAACCCCGCGTCGTGTTCGGAAAACCGGAGAAGACGAAGAAATGGCCGTTGAGGAATGTATAGGCGTCGAATATTACAAAAAGTCCTCGCGTGCGCGCGGGGGGGGGGTGCGCAAGAGACACAAAACAGTTTATGGGAAATAGCGCGCGGATAATGGAGAGTGTTCGCGATACGGCCGAACGCAAATGCAAATCCACCACCGATTTGGCTCGGTTCCAATTGTAACACCGCCTATTTTGTTTATTCAAATTGATCTTGGCATGTTTGAATGGGAAAAGTTTGCCTAAAGCCTGGAATGATAGCGCGTTCTGGAAATTAGAAGAAAAATTGTGGGAATTAAAAAATGACAATTCAGTGAGTAACCTATGCATGGTTTTGTGCATCTGAAAACTTACTGAAAATTTACATTTGCCTTCACACGCTAAAGTTTCTTCGTTGAAATTCTAATAGTTACGTTTAAACACAAAATTTAAAAAAATAGGTATGCGATATAAGCAGAGCATTGCATTAACAAGGTAAGGCTCATATGGACATTTGACATAAAAAAGTGGAAGTCTGTTAAAGAAAAAATTGCAGAAATATTTTTGAAAAAAAATTTGAAAATTTGGGTGCGGTTGGAAAAAAAATTGCCACGATTAAATGCCATTTGCGCAAACTTTTCAATTTTATAAAAGGAGCAAAATGCAATTTTTTCCGGTTATTGAATAGTCAGCAACATTCGTGGAAAACATCTGCGAGGTCCGCAGATGTGCTCCATAGTAACGGACTATTACAATGCGCGATGTCTTGGTCCATCTGGTCCCCCGCAAAAATCCTACCAATAATCCAAGTAGCAACGATTAAATAAGACTTATTGAGTCAATAATTGCAAATGGAAAAATGTGTAAAACTATATTAAAAAGTAGGCCAGAAAGCTATCAATTTTATTGGGTTTTTTTATTTTTGTAATCCAATTTCGCAAGACACACAGGTGGGCGTATGAAGGATATTCGAAATTCGTTGAAAACGTTTCTGAACATAAACTTTATATTGGATGATGCTCCGATGGAAATTTGGTGACGTGAAAATTGGGCAATACAAATTTTCTTGGAAATGAAAACAAAATCATGGTGGTTATCAGTTTTCACATCATAATCACATAAATAACTCAATAAAACATTTTTATGGCTGAAAAAAAGCGGCGACGAACTGAATAAAAAAAACTTACAGGGATTTCATTGGGAAAAAAATGTTGTTCGAATTAAGAAAAATGAGAAACGTGCATGTCCTGGAGGAAAATCCTAAGCTTCATGAAATTCCTTGAGCATATTTTCTTAATGTCATTTTTTATCCTGTTAATAGAAAAATGTCAAGTTATAATCTCGATTCAAACTCAAAAAAATAAAGCCTAAAATTTTTTCATGGTTTTCAAATAAATTTTCGATTTTTTAAATATCCACTTAAAAATTTAAAATCGACATTTTGTCTGGAAATTTTTAATCTGAAAATTTCGGAAATTATTAGCCAAATCTATAATTTGTATCCAAATTTGATGAAAATTCGAAATGCGGTTATAAAGAATCTATTGCCTATTAATCTGGTAGATTTTTTATCAGAACAATTCACAAACCAAAATTTAATGATTTAAAATCTTAAACAATAGCTCACCTTATTCTGAATATTTGCGAAATGCCGAAGATTTCAAAACATTCACATCAAAATTCGGCATTTGTCGACGTTTTCCCGACATCTTTGAATTTTCTTCAAAATGATTGAATATTCGATGTTATCACGGCTTATATAACATTTTTCATTTGCATAATCATTGGAAAACGAAATGGGTGAAAGCGTTTTGATCATTGAGTCTTTGATTTGTCGAAAATAACTATATTAGATGGAATAAAATGTTTCGATTTTTCGCGGGAAATTTTCGCCCAGAAAACCTATTTGATGAAATAAATGAAGGCAACATTTATCATAATGTCTATTATATTTAATGGAAAAATACATAAAAATGCCAAAAATGCATTAAATAAAAAAAAATCGACTGTCCATTTGACATTGAATTTTTTTAGTTCCTCATTCAGAAGAAATTTCAAAATATAACGTAGTAAATTAAATAACGCCTAAATCATTTCCAGAATTTATAAAGTATGAGGCCATATCAATTTTGACTGAAAATATTGTCTCAAAATGACAAAATACGATTTGGAAGCATCAAATATGAAGGATTCATTGAAATTGAGGGGCATGTTGTAGGTATTGAATGACCAATGGTTAACAATCTATATATTCGGCACTTGGGGCCCGTTCCGCTGTTAGCTTTTGCCCGTTTTTGTCTATTTGCTCACCGATTCAGACCCCTCTCCCCACCCCTTGTTTAATGCAATTCGTCGAGCTCATTCAAGTGTTTTGACTAAGGCCAAAAAGGCCGAGTACAATTACATTACATATTTGTTGTTATCTGGCGACAATCTTCATACAAAAATCAATCACATGCTGTTGACAGGAAGTGGTGATTTGTGAGTCAGAAGTTCAAAAAAACCTCACTATCATTGTCGTGTCGGAAACCCACCAAAAAATTTCGATTTTGGGTGTGGTTGGCCAACAATTTCATCCAAAATGTTGACAATTTCAGAAAACTAATTCAACAATTTTTTTCTAGAACTTTTCAATTTAATACATCTTGATCAGAAGTGAAAATTTCCGCTGAAATTACTGATTATGTCATCCAACCATTCGAGCACATCATCAATTATAATGTGTGTCTCCCAGAAAGCACGATTTACGTGCGTCATTCATTCTAGAAATAGAATTTCTCGTCATTCGTCATACATTGATGTAATAGATTCATATTCTAATTAGCACAATGCTGCATATCAGCTATTTTTGGAATCTACCGTAGTCCAAGGTCCCATGATCTCCAACATTGTGAAAAATAAATATGCTGCCGCATTAATTTACAACCTATCATAATCCCATTGATAAATATTGTTATCGTCGGGTGTGAATAATCACTGGTGTAGGAAGTGATCATCAATGAATGAGATGAGTTTCAGAATTTTAGAAATTGAAATAAAGAAAGAAGAAGAAAATGCTTCTCCATACCTTGGCTAAGGTCAATTATATATTTTACATATATTTTGTTTCAAAAAAAGTGGCAGCAAGAATGAGCATATAAATGCTAATTTAGGGTATCGAAACAATATTTTTCTTAAAAATCTTAAAAACCACTGGTTTCGGGCCTTCTCTATGCAACATTCTTTTTTTAATTTTTTTATATTTCGACTCAATCTGATATAAATCGACAAAAGACTCATAATGCCGAAAATCAGCTGCTTCTTGTGTCGACTGCTTTAGAAAAAAAACACACTCAATAATAAAATTAATTTCAGAATATTTAAAGTAAACCCAACTTCGACCAATTATCGTTTCAGAAAATACTTTTTTTGAGTTTTGATCGTGATCCAAACATTATTTTAGTCGCAGAAACCCATAAAAAAACCAATAATCGGTTTCCGGTCACATGTACAATTAAATTCGTCATTCAGCTTCTGGAAAATAAAGTGCAAGAACAGCGACAACTGGCTTCAAAAATATCTACCCCACGTATCTTGTTGTGGAATCGCTGGTCCCCTCGGTTCTTCTTCAAGTTCTCACCAATAAATCTTCTACGTCATCATATCTTAATGAGATGTGCTTCCACCGGAACTAGAAAGTTTGTGTACGTTCTACAACAAAATAAAAATGAAACGACTTCGCACTTGTCCTACAGAGTTCCTCATTGAGGCGAATCCGAAGAAAAAGAAAATGCGTGTTCCTTCGGAAATTTTTTGAGCAAGAAATATTTTTGAAGGGACGCTCTCAAAAATTTATATTTTTTTTGAACAGAGAACATCCATATCGCGTCTTGACTAAGAAATTCATCACTCATTTAATATTTTTCTATAACTCGAGACAATTCTATAGAATATAGGTTTGATGAATATCAACGATTTTTGAACATTCGGAAATTTGTAATTACGAGAGCTTTAGAATTCTAAATAAACTGAAGGCGTCAAAGGGTCGAATCGATATTGTTGCTTTCTGGATATGAAGTGTAATTGTGGAAAGCGAACGTGCCAATGTGCATTTTAAAACCGAGCACACTCCGCCGAGCCGTCGGCCTTCTAATCGGGATACTATAGGAAGTCATAATTGAACTTCCGCACAATCATCGTAGCTCTTAACCATCACCGATGTTGAATCTTTCAAGAATTCAAACATGGGCCCTAGTGGAAATTTCACTTTCGTTGGCAAGCCGCCTCAAGCGCGTTGACGATAAGCATCTTTTTTCGCACATTTCTATTTGTTTTATGATATTTTCCTCCGTTCCAATTCTCTTGAGAGTTCGGCTGAAACGGCCAAAAATACAATTAAACCAATCAACGAGCTGCTTGGGCGCGGGCTGCCGCCGAGAAGAATGGATGTTTTAAACGCTGGCGTGAGGCGAAAATGATGGAACAGGATGCGACATCAATATTGAACATTGGCGTCGAGAAGAAAGGAATCTCAAATTTTTAATTTTCTTTGGATATTTTTAAAGTTACTCCGATATATCGCTTCTTTTCTAAATAAGCAAAATCCATTCAGAATTCTGACAAATGTGGAGCACATTTGTCATAGACATATATCAAGTCCAAATTTGCCTCAAATGTTCTCAAGGAGACACGGCTATATAATATCCGCCTATTCCGCCTAATCCCAGCCCGTACATGTTTGCGCGCGTCTCTTCGTTTGCCCGCGTTTTAGTCGCCAACAACACAACAGCTCGCCGAAAATTGATTTATTGGTTCACAAATTTTTGTTTTGCTTATATGAATAATGATAATACCGCATCGTACGAAACGAGGCAAGGAGTTCGGCCAATCAAGGTTTTGATGTTTAGAAAATCTGGTGGGAAACGTTCCCGCGTTTCGCCACGTTGGCTGAACTCAAAGCCTCGAAATAAACGGGTGGATGAATGTTGTTATTCTCACGGGAAATTGATGATTTGCGCGTTAAACTACAAAATGGAAAACGATTACTTTTTTTTAAGAAGGATTGTTGAATGGTTTAAAGAAAAATAGAGTCGAAATCAATAAATAATGTTTGCAAGATCATTGGGAAAAGCGGGCGACTTTATTTAGTTCTGGCCTTCTGGCTCGTTGGCGTCGTTGTCGTCAGCAGCGGCATCCGAAGTCCACAAAGTCAAGTTGTCGCGAAGAAGCTGCATGATGAGAGTCGAGTCCTTGTACGAGTCCTCGTTCAATGTGTCGAGCTCAGCAATAGCGTCATCGAACGCCTGAAATTTCGATTCATTATTCTCCAAGCTTGAGAATGTCGCAAAGAAAGTGGTTGGCTGCTGAGCTGGACCTGCTTGGAGAGCTGGCAAGCTCGATCAGGACTCGAGGCGACTTCATAGAAGAACACTGAATAATTCAGCGCGAGACCGAGGCGCACGCAATTCGTCGGCAACAATTCCCGTGTGGCAATCTCGAGCGCCTCCGCATACGCCGCCTGCCCCTTATCGGCAACCGCTGAAATTCAACAAAAAAAATTGACACACCTGTTTGGCGAGTTGGCACGCCTTGTCCGGGGCGTTCAAGATCTCGTAGTAGAAGACAGAGAAGTTGAGAGCGAGTCCCAAACGGATTGGATGCGTCGGTTGCATCTTTTCCTTGGCGATGTCGAACGCCTCCTGGTAGCTTTGTTGCGACTTATCGACGACCGCTGTAATCGCCAAGATATTTTTCGGAATAATAGTGAAAGCGCCTAAGTTTATTTCAAAGAGCATAATGCATCCGTATCGGCTCTCTGTCTTCTGCTACAAAACCTTTTCTGATTAGAGGTGGCACTCACACGGATGCATTATGGAGTTAGAGAGAAAGAGTTTCTATTGGGTAAGGGACACTTACAGCTTCTGTCGTCTCCCGAAGCGACCTCAGCCAAGTAGCGGTAGTAGTCTCCCTTCATCTTGAGGTAGAAGACCTTCGACTCGGCAGCTCCCGCCTTCGGGATGAGGAACTTGTCCAAGAGGTTCTGTAAATCGCCGACATTTGTTCCTGTTCAAAACGTCAACGCTGACTAACCAAGACATCCTGGCAGATGTCGCGAAGTTCCTTCTCGACCTTCTCGCGGTACTCTTTCGCCATTTGTTGTTTCTTCTCCGAGCCCTCCGTCTTTTGCTCGATCGACGAGATGACGCGCCATGAGGAGCGGCGAGCTCCAACGACGTTCTTGTAGGCAACCGAGAGCAAGTTGCGCTCCTCGTTCGAGAGCTCGGCACCGAGTTCGGTGACCTTCTTCATCGATGATGCCATATCATCGTAGCGTTCAGCCTGCTCAGCGAGCTTGGCGCGGTTCACAAGTTCATCCTTTCCGTCAGACATTGTCAGCAAGAGAGTTTAGTAGATACCTGAAACGGTTGCAATCAATGTATATATCTCAGAGCTAACAGTTGATAAGAACGAAATGAAAGTGAAGTGTCCGAAAGGGAGAGCTACACTCCTCTAAACAAAACACACAATATATCAAGAAGAATAAGAATAAGGAGAAATGGACGTCTCTCTATCTCTCACTGCGCTCAGTGCCAAAGTAATGCCGAACACACACGCTCCGCCCCGTTTTGCGCTCGACGGCCCTGCCCCTTGACGTAGCCAAAGAGCGCTCACACAACTTTTGCACGTAAAAAACCAACATTTTTTTACTTAAAAGTATGGTGAGACTTGTTTGTTCGATTGATGGTATAGTTTTCTAGCATTTCTGAAAATTTGAAAGAAATCGGTTAGGTTTAATATAGGTAATGGTCAAGTGGCCAAAAGCACAACAACACTGCGGAGGAATTGCAGGGGGTCGCGTGCAAAGATTGTTCGAGAACCAAACAACCGAGCGGGGCGGAGGAGGCAATTAGCGCAATGAGCGCTCACACCCGTTTACCGCATTATATTTCAATGTTCCAGTTGCCCAATTTCCAGAAGCGCTACATTTTCAGACTCGCCAGCGCATGCTGAATGCTGTTGGCTTGTCGAAAATGCGAAAATTTGTTTGCGAGCAGAAATGAGCGATTTGGCCACATCAAAACATACAACTGCGGAGGAAGCCCGGGGGTGGTTTGCTTTCCACCCACCAGCGGCGCCTCGTCATTTCATGTCGCTCTGTTATTCAAATACTAGGAGCGCTCACACATGATTGAGCGGATAATTTAAGCACTCCTTATAGCCCGATTTTTATGGAAAAAATTTCATTGTCGTTTTCAATGAATTGCCGACGTATTCCGAGCAAAAATTGGCGACAAATGTGCGATCATTGATGTGATTCGGGTTTAGTGAGCAAAACGGAGGAATTTCGGGGGTTTGTTTGTTTCGGGCGAATGCAGACTTGTGCTAAATCATTTACCACTGCCAGCGGCGGTGAGCTTGATGAGCGAACCAAGAGAGAAAAACGCGCTGCCTTAAGCCGAGTAGTTGGAGCACATAGTGGAATCGATTCCTAGAAAATCAGCGATTGATAAACAGCGAGGAAGTCGATTCATTGCGTTTCCTCCCGGAAAATGATAAAACACGTAATTGGCGAACAGTCTAGTGGTTATCATTTATCGCTTATCTGCTCCTTCGTTTTTTTTGTTCTCCGAATCTTTTATCGAGGTACTTTGATAGTCTAAAGTGCCTTTAAAATTGATATAACATTGTTTGCTCCTGATGCGGGGGGGAGAGGGTTCACTTGTGGCGCTCACTGAATTCAGCGGCGGGCGCCGATTGTCACAGCTGTCCTTTCGTGGCCACCAGTCAACAAAAATTGGCGAAGTCAATGGGGGCGCGTGCGCGCTCGCGCACATTGCCCCAACATGGCCAAAAGAAATGTTCGATTTGCGAAAAAAAAAGACCTTCAAACAAAGGTCTTATCTGGCGTCCCGCATCATTCTGGTCTCAACAAATCATACTGGGTGCGTTTTGAGAATAATGGGTGCGCGGCGTCAACAACAATTTCGCCGACAAAAAAATCGATATTCGCATCGTGGCGAAAGTTATTTTAACTATACTTTCAACCATTGTTTCATCAATTGAATGCAGCGTGTTCGGTCGCCTATTGTTTACGTTTTTGGTTCGACGGTTGCTTTCAATTTCAACCTAAATTTGCCGGGTCGAATGATGTTGAATACTATGCGATCAAATGTGACCGACGCGTATCGCTCGCGCTCTCATCAATCATCAATCGGTTAATGAAAAATGAGTTGACAATTCTGAACCGACCACCACGATTTTTCTTAAGTTGGTGATGAGACATCGAGATGGCTCAAAAAAAAATTTGTTCAGCGCCCCCGGATTTCATAATTGTTGAGTGTCATTTCCCCCGACCAAGAATCACACCATCCGATGATTTGAATTGATGAACTTCCAGGTGTGTCGGCAAGAAAACATTATCATCGCCGGAAACTGTCCCGTCAATGCCGGCTAATCCATCACGCTCCCAAATAGGACTAAATTTGTCTTCGTTTTTGGGTTGCGGCGCTCGCGGCGAGCGCTGAGCAACAAATATTTTCGTTGAACGCGTTTCCCATTCTGGAGACGAAGAGTGCAATACGACACTCATCAATTTGCAAGGGCTCCCCGCAAGCCATCGCCTCGCGGCACAAGAACAATCGATGTGTATGTTGGGGAGGGTTAATCCACTCAACTAATTGTACGCGGCTGACGAGAAAGACGATGAAGAGAATGAAGATGAATGTAGACGAAAGAAGGCGAACAAAAAAGAGCTGCTCTCATTTTTTATATAAATTATTGATGGTGAAAGAAACTCATGGGTGTGATGGGGGAGCTCACATTAGGATTGATTAGTTTCTTTTTTTTTGTTTTTAAGCATAGATAAAATATTTTCAGAAGCCCTCGAGGGACCGCCGTCGTCCTTGTTTTTGATGTTGTCATGTAAAAGTGCTTCGATTGAAAAACAAAACCGCCGCCAGAGTTCTGAAAAATAAATGAAAAGTGGGAAAAAAAATGAAAGTAAAGATTAATGATGGGAACCAACCGGGGCATGCCGCATGACGAAAGTTTCCGCGAAATATTCAACAGCCGATATAAACATCTGAATTATTAAGCGAGAATTTTTCAAAGTGCTCTGCTTAAAATTGAGCAGAAGCCAATTGGATTTGAAATTTGTCATGGCACATGTATAAAAATTAGGTCAATTCTCACGACAAATTAGCTTGATTAATTTTATGGGCCACTGACACATGTGTGAATGGCAATATTTTGAATCCCCCTCAGGTTACTGTAACAACCATCCAAATCGATGAGCTCCGTTCTATTTGGCAAATGTTTGTGCGGTGTTGTGTGTGTATCTAAAAGCGGCTACAAACCAAAAAACCCTCCGGCGATTGAATCCCACCACGACTTGCCGCAATATCATTTTTGACCAAAAAGAAGAAACCAAAAACTTGAACCATTTTTTTTGTTTCCTCCGAATTCTTGAGAAAACGTGGTTTTGTTGGCAAAACTCATGGTTATTATTTCATGTTTCTATGACGATGGATGTGTGCCGGCGGTGGCGAATGGATTGGGGGGACACAGACACGAGACGTGTTTGTTTGGATTGATTAGTGTTTGCGTGTAAGCCCGACTCGAACAGAACAGTTTTGCGCGTTGTGTAAACAGGCGTGAGTACGCCGGGCTTTTGAATACTGAAATAGTACAAAGAATGTTGTAAGTATCCCACCGTGGTTGATTTCATCACGTTCATTTTCTTTTCATATAATAGAGAGATAGAGAAAAAGTGGGTGGGGGGCTATTTGGTTTCGTTGTGTCACATGCTAGACCCCCCCCCCAATTTCTAAATATGGCTATTGCACAATATTTTATCAGTTATGTGATACATATTTGCATATGACGCATGTACAAAAATGAATCGCTGTTTATGCGAATCAGATTATGCCCATATTGTTAACAAAACAATGATATAATCGAAAAATTCTCTTCGACTTGATACTCATTTTGTTCTTTTGGCGTTGTTTTCATCGACTCCTGGGTAAATAGCATGTTGCTCGAAATGGGACCAAAGAGGAAACCATGGATAATTGTTTATGCGACACCCAGCAGCAACACATAAAATATTGTTGCTGGAGGAAAATGACAGGTTTGGCATGTTGTGGTTTTTGCTAGGATGACAGCATATGGATCACGCTTCTTGAAATACATCTGAATTTGGTGCTGTGAATTTTGTAATATAAAAGAAACACATGGGATTTTTCCCCGTTTTGCCTTGAACCCAAAATTCAGGATTGAATCAAATATGCCACTTATCGAGCGGATACCAAGTGTCAACAACTTAACGCACCTGCGCAATTAACCGATTAGTGGTTTCGCGCGAGATATTCCCACAAAAGGGCAATGACCCTAAACAACACAAAATCCAGTTATATTGTACATTTGTCCTATACATTGTTTAGAGGGATGTTAAACATATTCATATTATATTCATTTCTACAGTAATCCAAACTGTTTACCGGTGTGTGTTTTTTTTTCAAAGAATGTTTACCAAACATCATATTTGTGACTTTTCATTTTTTAAAATTGTTTATGATATTTCGTTTCATTTCCAAACAATATTCAGTCATATGCAAATGCTTTTCGTCACCCCAAAAGCCATCAATGCAAATAATAAATCGTGGGAATAGATTCAATTTTTTTCTTTATTTCTTTTCATTCAAAGTGATAAAAAAATGATGACGAAATGAAAAACGAAAAAATGGGGGGTTTGCCGGTGTCGTAGGGTATTGACGAATAATATCATGGAAAATTTTCACCTGAGAGGGAAATAATTTCAAGGATTTGTTCAGAAATTCTAGTTTTCTGCATTGGCCAATACACTCAGTTTTCTTTGGTCTTTAATTAGGTCTATTTCAGAGCGATCAATGGAAACAAATCAACATCATAAGACCCCAGGAATTAGTCCAGAAACTGGTTTCAGTTGACCTTCTACTCAAAACGACTCATATAATTTCCAAGAGTTTCGCAATTTGTTAAACGACACGTGTGTTTTGTCAACACTCTACCATTTTTTCGATTTGTTTTGTGGGTATATGAAAAAAAATCTGCGAGCATCCATAGAACGACCATTTTAGGCCATCAGAATAGTATTGTTGTTTACTTCTACTTTCGTCCCATTATTTGTTGGGACAAAATGAAATAATTGGATCATGGCAATATATTCTTTCTTGCTCTTGCGTGAAATTGCCATTTGGTTCCGGCTACAACGAAATTTTCGTTGGCGTCAAACTGGATGATAGCGCATTTCGAAACCGCCGTACACATTTTGAGCCAATCGGAATATTAAACTGCAACTGACGATCTGACTGCCTGGATGGGGAGGGTGGTTATGTTACACTTATGACATA